ATTATATAAACTTAAGTTCGTACAAACGGGTCAACTGGAGAGGATATAGATATCAATAACTTCAGAGATTATACTTCTGAAATAATCAAATCTCAAGATCAGAGTAGATGGTATTTTTAGAAGTATACACACTCAGATACAGTAAAATCATCTCTCAAAAAATAAGAGTGTCTTTACTCTCACAGATGAGATAAGATATTAATTATTTGAAAGCTTTATTTATTTTAATTTCGTCATCTATTATACATCAGATAATCTTATTAGTATATAATTATTGATATACTTTATTGAAGTATTTGTATTCAATAACATTTTTACTGTCACTTCTTTTTTTTATTTCAGATACTTTTTATACATCAGTGTATGCAGTTCTACAGTATTCAGATATTTATCTGCTTTTTCTTCTATACTCATCTCTTTATCAATTTTATCTTTAGCTTTTATAGAATTCAGAGAATCATCTAGTATAGATAATTTATTTATTTTAAAGATTTTCAGTAGTTAATTAGTAAGTATCTTCAGCTCTGCTGATCTATCTAGTTTTTTAATTTCTTATTCTATAGATAACTTTAATAATCTCTTATATTATAATTCTGTCAGCTGCAGTGAAAGCACACTCTGTATTTATAATATTATATTATTCACTCTGATATATTCTTCTTAAAAGATTTTGAAGCTTTTGTAATAGTATTGAGATTAATATTTATTATATCTGAATATTTTGATGATGATGCTGTGAGTATAGATGTAAATTTTCTTACATTCATCAATATTCTCTCTATTTATCTTTACAGTTTGTCTGTTTATTCTCTTGTAAGTAGAATCTCATATACTTACTCTACTGTCTGTGATTATGAATTAAGACATTTTTATTCAGTATATAGCTCAGATATCAAATTATATATAAATATCTATAAATAGAATAATATCAGAAGCTTCTAATTCATCACAAAATAATATAAACTGAAATAAATATAGTACAATATAAAATCTTCTTCTTGTTTATATTTCACAAAGTATTTATAACACTTATCTTTAGTATTTAATTTCTTGAAGTTATATAGAATTCATCTTATAAAATCATTTCATATCTGCAGTAGCTTATATTTATCAGATGTCTTTATATTTATTTTCTCAATTATTATTTAAAGAGATCTAGCTGTTTCTCTAAGAATAGATGCTGTATATAAAATCTGCTGTAATTCAGTGAATTATTATCTCATGAGCTTATATTTTATACAATAGTGAGAATATATATAATTCAATCAGTTAAAAGCAGTATTATTCTTACATTTATTATCAAAATATAATGAGTTAGATAGATTATCTGATTTGATATATTTCATAATAAGCAGTGTATTCTCTGAGAGCACTATTTATATTATATACACTGAATCAGAGTCATTTACTGAAGTATTAATATTAAGTGAACTAGTTAAACTATACAGTGAAATCTTGAGAGTCACTGAGTATTCAGTCTCACAATATATATATTTCAGTTCTCAGCAAAGATCAGTTATCTGAGTATCTTATTTATTTTTGATATTTACTAAACTATCTACAAAGTTCACAGTATTTATTACTTATTACTAAATAGCTTTCATACACTGATATTTCTTCTGTATTTCAAGCTTCATCTAATAAAGATTATATATTACTAGAATCTCTTTCAATAAGATATTGTAGATGAGAAGCTTGTTATTCTCAAATATAAAAGCTGCTACTCTATATACTGTTTTGTATAGATTTTTGAGAACTAGTTGTATTTTCTATGATTTGAGTATGAGAGATGAATATTGATTGTAGATGTTTATAATGATTATTATCAATTGTATACTTTTCTCTGTATCTTAAGAATATTGTTCTTATAAAGTGATTTCTTGATAATATTCTTTTGATCATACAACTGACTGATATCTTCTTCTTAAACTTATAAATAAAGTGATTCTTTGAATCATCATTCATCTCTATACTGTCTTTTTATACTTTTGACTTGTTTTATGTTTTGAGATGAGTTATCTGCTACTGATATTACAATTGAAAATATTCTGACTTCACTGCTTATTTATACAATCAAGTTCTCAAATATAAAAATGATTACACTGATATAATAACTACAACTTATATTATAGACAGAATTATCATACTCTTAGAAGTGTATACTCTTTTTAATTTAGATATATTATCAGATATAATTCAAAGATTACTTGAGCTTTTCAAAGCTTCTAAGCTTTGCAGCTCTTCTTATATAAAATAACTAGTGCAGTAATATATATTATTCTTGATAATAGAGGATGATGTATACTTCAGAAGAATAATAAGCTGAAATTATTACAAAATTATAGATTTGAAATAAAGAAATATTTAAATAATAATTCTATATTCTGATATCTCTTCTGATGAGTCAGTGATTTCTGATCACTGAATTTATATTAAAAAAAATCACTCTCAGAATCTCAATACAGATTCTGATAATATATTATAAAAATTTCAATAAATAGTATACAGCAATTGATTAAAGAAGAGCACACACAAAGAAATATATATATTTATTATCAATAATACTATTAATTGTATGATATTCACAGTAGTAGTGAAGTAAGATTGAATTTTATATCAGATTAATATAGTTATAATCTATCTACACAGTCAATTTAATAAAACAATTTATATACAGCAATCTATTAGATTTGAGATGAAAACTTTATATACAATAATTTGTACTGTTATAGACTTTCTATATAGATTGAATTTTACTATTAAAATTTAATATAATTTTCTTATAATATTATTCTATAAAAATGATTTCAAATCTAGTCTCTATAATTCTATTTTATAGCATTATATATTCTGCAATTATTTTTATATAATAATCTATATAAATAATCTTTATATTATAGTAGAAGATTCAGCAGATATCAATTGACTAGTTGATATTCTTATCAATAAATTAGAAATAAAAAATTTAAAAAAATCTTTAAAATATTTGAATATAAAGATTGAATATCACTCTGATGATATTATAAAATTAATATTGAGATACTATATTAATTATTTAGTGCAAGATTTTCATCTAGATAATATCATCTCTATTTCTATATCAATATTTAAGAAGATGAAAATAGATAATATTTCTGTATTAGAATAAAAAGAAGAATTTATTAAAGAATAATATTAATACAGAGTAGAGTACTTACAGTATCTGACAGTCAAATTATATTCAAATATTATATAAATAATATTTCTACTAGCACAGAAGAATACTGTGTCTATATTTAAAATATAAAAAGCTCTTCTCTATATTATACAATATCTAAAAGAAATAAGTGATCTAGACATCTTATACAAAGATTTTAAGAATAAGATTAATAAATTTCTCAATATATTATATCTGTCAATAAATTATACAGATTCAGATTGAATAGAATTATTAAATAGTAAATATAAATCTATTTCAGATTTCATATTCAAGTTAGTAGATATATCAATTTTATAATATTTATTTAAATAATCTTATGTTTCTTTAAGTTTAAATAAGACAGAATATATAGTACTCAGCAAAGCAGTATATAAAGTAATATAATTATACAATATAATAATGAAACTAAAATTCATTACAGTAAAGAATCTCTTATTCATCAGAGTAAATAATAAAGATTTAATTAATCTAACTATTATTACTGCAATTACAGTATACAGTAAGTATATCAATATTTACTTCTACTATTCTCACACACAACTGAATAAAGATATTATTTCAATTAATTATATTTTCACTAAAAATATGATAGCAGACAGATTAATTAAATCTCTGAACACAGTGATATTTAAGTATTTTATTAAATTACTAGAACTTTTCACTGACAACAGTAAGAATGATTAAATTTCTGTATATAGTATGTTTTTGAAATAATCTAGATTAAGATAGCTAGCATGAAATATTCATAGAAACACATCACACATGTTGGCACATGGGGGGGTGTTGGGCACTAGTTGCCCAGGTGGCCCTCCACTGCATGTGATTACCCCTATATAGTTAGCTAGCGACCACAACAATAACAAGATCAACCATCCCACATAACTTAACTAGGTATAGCTGGTTGGCTGCTTAATCAGCACCGTAGTGCATTATGACATCGTAACCCCGATCATGCAGAGACATGACTATCCCAGAGAATAACACCCTTCTTCTTTCACTCACAATTACCTGTCCAATAAGCCGAACCAAAGAAACAGATTCTATCATTTAGTCTATATCCGCATCGGCAATTTTTTACAGCGTAGTTGCTTCCGATACCACTCCCGCGCTCCATAGGGTCGTCGAACATCCTGGTCTTTGATGCTGAAAGCAGTAAAAAGCCAGTCTCTTTTCTCGCTTTACGAAGTTAGTCTCGTGCGATGGGGTCGCTGATTCTGTGGTCGAATGGCTATCTTTCGAGTCGATCTTGTGATAAAAGACGTTTGAGGGTCAAGGGTTCCTGAGAAACCGGGACGGCTGGTTGTGAGCTCATAGCCACATCTCATATCTTGAAGTCAAATTGGACGGCTCTGGCCAGGTTCGTTATATTGCCAGATTGTGTTGTAATGTACATGGTTTAGTGAAGCATCCAAGGAACATATGTCCCAGTAACACCGAATCCCGCGCCTCACGATCTGGCCGTGAGGGTCATTTAGCATCCTCGCCATTCAATCTATGCAAAATGCTGGGATCTGCGAGTCCAAGTGCCTTCCTGCGCCTAGCTACCTTCCTTGCTGACGATCATTACGCGTTCCTCTCGCAGCTCACCCTTGACAAGATAGCAAGGGTCCTCAAATCCTTAACCCAAGCTACGAAATCCAGGGAATCTATTTCCCGGACCACAAAGCATGGTGAGAGCTCAATTCGCGCGCCTTAGCGCTCATTGTCGTGGATCTCGTCCTGAAAAATTCGGGTCAATTGCCTCTGGTCGGACCACGAGAATGTCCTAACGGCGACCGTATATCCCGGCTTTAATGGGTCTACTATATGAATGCGCGGGAATATGCAACGGCATTGCCTGGCTCACCGCTGTCCTCAAATGGCTTGTTTAACGAGAACACCAGGTGAAATGGTTGCTAATACAGGTGTCTGACGCGACGGTGCTGAATGCAGATTTATTGCTCCTTCATGTCCCGACACATTGCGCTTTATCATCCCACCAAACTTTGAGAAACCCCGTCTTGAATACGGGTGTGCAATTCACGATACGCAAATCCCAGCAGCGTTATCTTACGCAACTGTCCTTTTAGGCTCAACTACGGGATCGATGCAATGACGTATTTTCGGAGGAAAGTAGGGGAACCAAAAGCAATCGATCGGGCTAAGAGCTTGGGAAATTGCGAAAAAGTGTCAGCTCTTGACATGCAAGGACCGTCAAGGGCGTATTTAACCTGCCAAGGTTCTCGACAAATCTCCGAGCTCGCGCGGGTCAAATGAATGAGTAAACGGTACGGCGTGGAACAAAACTCCTTGCACAAGCCAGCAATTATCTGGTAAATCTGTTGCATTCCGGTTAACAGGCCACCAAATATTTGGGGCTAGTTTAGGGGCCTGATGCCTACTGCGTCAATCTTGGCTCTCTCCACAGCTTCTGCCATCATGATTATGTGAGGTCTGTCCAGACTGATATTCCATATATATTGTCGCATATGCAAGAGCTTTTTTATGATGTTGTAAGCTTCCATTAATGGAAGCTGTCATTGCATACGTGCCAAGAAACCAACGAAGGTCTGCGATAGAAAGCAAGTGCTTTTCCAAGCCCCCTGGTTCAGTCTGCCTCCGACAAATTGAAAAATGAAAGACCCAAATCCTTTGTTATCTGTCCTGATAAGCTATGCCAGGAACAAATTAGTGGTTGCACTCTAAACTGGCAGCACATCGAAGTCCGCACCACTGAATGGTTGACCTCTATTTCGGGCTATATCTCAGCAGTGAAGGTTCTTCACCTGGGGGCATGAATGGTATCTCCATTTCTTTCTCGTTGCCCATCAACTTGGAAAGATAAACGAACAGTTTTTTAAATTTTTCTTACTCATACAACGACTCTCCTTGCGGCACAGATGGACCATAAATTCCTACGAGAATGCGAAGAACACTCAGAGCACTGCCTAATCGACATGTGTATAGTTGTTGAATGATGAAGACCGAAACCGTTTTCGCTGGATGGCACCCAGGACAATTGAGATGGTCATCAGAGTTATAAAGTGTTAAAGCCTTCGCATGGCGCCAGGTAACGTACCTCGCGGGATGGCCCTCAACGTTTGTTAGCGTTGTTTCTCTAAATATTTTTTTCCTGAAAGCCTGCATTTCAAAGGAAGAGATGTCGTGGTCCCATAGCCCTTCGAAGGGGATAAAGGAGCCGGGCGTGTGGCAGATATTACTCGAAATACCTCGAGGATCTACAACGAGAAATAGTGTAGCTGAGGATTGAGAGATTATCTCCACCGCTGTCGTTGCAGTTTTTCAACAACCGCCGCTCAGTATAACGGTGCTTGATTTTCCTATGCATGCAGCAATCAACCACCTCACCATCATCACCCGGCTTTGCTGCAACAGGTTACTTTTGGTATTGAAAATTCAATGAAGGACTGTTTTAACATAAATCGCCTGCCACCTTATTCAATCGAGGATATACCGTCCATGAACCCCCTCAAGCCAATACAGCGGGCGAGAGACACGATGTCTAATCCGATTCGAATTGGACCTGTGGTTAGATTGATTAGTTAAGCAGAAGCAGAAAGAACCAAACAATCTCTAGGCCAATGTGAGCTTGGGTAAGTGAATAGCCGTTCTAGATGAAGCATTGGTTACAGGCATATTAGTTGTCTTCGTGTCCCTATATCTGGGAAGCAACTGTTTGATTTGGAGACAGGCAAGGATGGCAACCACCATTCCGGCAATATCGAAGGCGCATATCGATATATGTTTTTCCCCCCTTCCCTACTTATCCCTTCCTTCCCATATTCTTTCTTCAATTAATTTTTAAACCACTATGAGATACCAAAGTCATTTGAAGTTGAGCAACTGGGTTGCTGTTCCCAAATCCCAGCCACGTGATTGAAAATCCTCACATCAAAAAGGGGAAAGAATTTGTTACCAAAAGACACACCAAACAAATTGGACTCTCCCCGCGCACAAGTACGTTGTTTGAAGGAAGAAAGAAGGTGAAACAGAAATTTCCGGGAAGCATTCTTGACCTGGCTGCTGAAGACGGGTCGGTACTAACTTGTTATTCTCTGTTTTCTAAACGCCAGATTGACATTCATGTCGAGCAATGGCAGATGAGCACTACCCTTCCGCTCTGTGAGTTTGAAGCAACGGAGGGGAATCCGGGGATACCTAACATCTTGAGGGACAGGACCTGCAAGACCCCTGTTCGGTGACGGGTCGCCACATGGACACATTTTTATCACTACCACCAAGCCGTTCTCAAGCACTTCCCGCATGTTGGCAGCTGACCTTCCGTAAAATTTACGTTCTCTATATCCACTCTCGGTTATTGAAGGCAGCCCTGGGTGTGGAAGAATATGATGGCGAACTCAAGGCATCGGTTACCTGCTGATTTCGTTGACAGGGTAGCCTGAGCAAAATCGGCGGCCTACGGGCTATTTAGAGCAGGGGTAGGTGGCAGGGGGATGAGGAGACAGCAAGGGTGCGAGCAGCTGGGCAGCATGCTGACCATGCTTATTGCAGCATCTAGCCTTTCTGAGGCTCTTGGAAGAGATGCGGAGAAAAGACCCCTGACAATTGGCTCTACAAATCCGCAAAGAAGATTCGCTAACCCCTGTCGCTTCTGTTCTCGTGAGTGACATGTATGCGCTTCTCCAGACGCAAAATTCCGACTTCCGGGATTCTCCATATGAAGGCTAATTTAGCCCAAGTATAGCAAACTAAGGGGTCAAGGCCAGTTGAGACCTATCTATTCTCACGACTGAATATTTGAGCCCATGGAGTGACAATACCATTCGGAGCTTGAGAAGAACAGCCAAGGGACCACCTAAAAATGGCTTCTTATAGCTAACTAAAAAATAAACGAATGATTCCCGGAATTGGAAGGTCCAAGGGTATCAAAAATCTAGAAATCATTAGCCCCTGAGGCACTCCAAAGTTCCGGCGCTCGAGCTCTCACCCTGAACACGTCCCTGAGCCCGAAGCCTAACGAAATTTGCACAAGTATATCAGCATTATTGAAGGTGAACCGCTAAGATTCTCTTGCCAGCGAAACCCACGGTGGACTAAGGATATCCTTTCGAATGGGCCCACGTGTGTGTTTGCCAAAAATCAATAATTTCCCCCAAGACGATCCACTGAGAATGGCGAATTCTTCTTTCAACGGAGATCACAACGATTTTGAGGATGACATTAGAATGTTCTGGCGCCTGAATTGAAAAGACCGCCAGCATGTCCATTTCTATCTTCAACCTGCGGAATCTACTCACGGTATGACATTAAAAACATGGATACCTACAATGGCACTGTGAACTAGTTTACATCTACAGTCCTCACATGATCAACTCGGCCTGTGGAAGCGTACATATCCTGCTTTTCTTAAATCTGTATCCGAAGGTAGTGGTGATGTGCTCCAACGGCCCGCTCGCTCCCGTATGCCTCAACCAACCTTTCCAAGTCGACCGGATATTAACTGCCTACCGTATTTAAGACTTGAAATGCAATCCTTCCGCATCGTTCCCCGCAAACGCTAGCACATCAGTTAAATAGAAAACCCCTCGATGTTCCTCGGCACCCGAGCCACTCAACAGGACCCTGCACCGATTCTGAAACTTTCTTTCTATTATTATTGATTTGCCAGGAACAATTATATGACATGGTTTAAAAAATAATCAACTCCCACCCACCAACAATTGCCCCAATCATTGAGTCATTGAGGACAGGAGCCAATACAACAGCTGTGAAGTTTGCTTTCACAACGACCCTTATGATCCAAACAGACCCTCACAACTTTGGGGACTAACCAACCATTTGAATCCCCAAGCGCATGGAAATTTCCCAGCTTCCAAGTTCACATTAGCATGACTAACTATTTTTAGTTTACACTATGATGCCAATCGAAATCTTAGTGACCTGAGGCCTCAATAACCTTTCCGTCGGGAAAGGGAGAGACACTCGAGGCTTTCCCGAAAGGAATGGTAAAGGATTCTTCTGTGCATGGACAGAATCCACAACGAGCAAAGTTCCTGTTCCGGAGAGGCTCATACATTTTCCTTTTCCCCTTACGTAGGACATCCACTTACCAGATTAACTCTTTAAATATCAAAAACATTTCCCCTGTCAGTTTTCCAGTTTGGGCGTGCCTGTATGTTCGTTCCTTTCTCTTTTCTACTTCTTAGAACCTTAGCCCGTAATTGGTTGATGCGCGACATCCATTTACATATCTCCGCATAACCTTTGTATGCATCCCCTGGTGTTCATGAAGCAAATGGATCTCCATCCTGGCCGCCCTCCTCCTCCTCCTCCTCCAGGGAAGGAAGGAAAAGAGTTCGAACCTGAAGTTCCCCGCCGCTAGTCCACCAAGCCACACACTACTTTATGTTCTCGAAGGATCGGAGCGGCGACCAGTCCCTTCCATTGAATTGAAACGGGTTGGAATAAGAAAAGAAACGGAGAAAAGAAAAAGGCAAAACGGCCGTCAGTCAGGCGCGGGGTAAACTTTCACCTCCGTCCATTATCGGACTATGCACAGCTCAACCATGGACCTGTAGTTTTCCTATTCCTATTCCTATGTAGCCAACTGAGGAAAACTAAGCTAGCGGCAGGGGTTTCTTTCTTCCTTCTTTTTTTTGGGGGGTGAGCTTCTCTGCCGAACATACCCGCACACCCCCGCTACTTGCCCTTTCCCCCTACTTGTGCGCGAAGAACGCGGTTTTTCGCGCAGGAGAATGAGGGTCCGGAAGCGAGAGAGAAAGCTTCCAACCATCGCTGAGGGAGCCAGTTCATCGGGGATGAAAGGGAGACGAAGGAGAAGGAGATGGAAAAATAGACAAAAGGCTACATGCATGGACAATCCCATTATTCCGGCCGAAGGGAAGAGGTTTTAAGAATGACGCAATGGAATAACTATGCAGACACACCAACCCGGCGCGAGGGAGAAAAAATCAGAACAAGAGAACAAACCAAGACAAGCCGAGGGAAAAAATGAAAAGAAAGAAAAGAAAAGAAAAAGCAAAAGAAAAAGAAAAAGAAAAGAAAATGAAACAATTCATGCATTTGTTAGTGACGAATAAAGTTTTTACGCTGGATGTTCCTCGAATAAGCAAATCATCTTTTTTCTTTTTCTGGTTATTTTTGGCTTGACTCGGTCCTTTCATTTTATTTTTCATACTATAAAATTTTATTTTTCTTCCCTCCTTTTCAGCGGTGAGGTTCGATCGGAGTCTCGGATTGATGCGCGCAAGATACCCTCGGATGGTTGTGCCTCGGGTCCCAATCCGCGGCCAGGGAGGAGAGTTCGTTTTGTACTGTACATCCAACATGCAATTCAACGAGATAGAACAACAATGTCGAGGTTTGAGATTCGAGCGGTTTTTAATTTTCTTCGATTTTTATTTTTATTTTTATTTTTATTTTGTTTTTGTTTTTGCCCTGTCGATTCTTCCCCGTTGAGCAAGGAATAAATTATAGCTCGCGTAATAAAATGAATTCATGCACCGATGATGTCAATGCCTTTCTTTCTCTGTTTGTATTCATGCTAACGAAAGGCGAGCAAAGTGTGTATATTAAGTTTTTTCCTCATTTCACAAGCATGCATCTCGTCTGCTGGCGGCTTCTCCAAGGAATGAGGGAGCAATCTTGGAAGTAAATCTGTTCCAAGGTTGTTTCGAGAAGTATCAGGTGATTTTTGAAATATCCATTGAAATCTCTGATCCCTTCAGAGGAAGCGGAGGGACAACTTTGTGTAAGTCGAGCGATATTGTCGGGTTTATGAGCCAAATCAATACATACTAGAGTTATGGAATCTGAACAGAAACTTCCATGGCTTTGGCCGGGGATTTTTGGACCGTTGGAACATTTTCCGCGAGGATTCGTTGGTTGGGGGAATGAATGAATTCTCCTGAGGTTGAAACTCGATGCCTGACCCTTGAGCTTTCCCCATCATTATGATTCATGGGGGCGGAAATTCACCGGGATGAAGTCTACCCTGCTGATTGGATGCAGACACTGTGGAGAGGCGTGGGTTGCTCCATCGCGACTCACCTTTCTCATTCCCACCTCGCAGGCTTCCCCCTCATGGAATCTCCACTTCGCCTCCTCCAGTCCTCCTCCACCTCCAGGCTGTCAGGCATGGGGGCCCCTGCTGACTCTAAGCACCCAATAGTAGAGAGGAAACTAACAATAACAGTTCTAATAACGAACAGGCATGCAGGGCTTGTACCTTGCGAAACAGAGCTTATTATTTGTGAGCTAGCCCTGTGTGACAAACTTACAAGTACCTACTGGGACACACATACACACACACACACACACACACACACACACCAACGACCATCATAGGAATAAATGAAAATGTATTGTGTGAGCAGAGAGTTCGTTGGTCCTTTCTCCGTGAAACACGACCATGCTGACATTGTCAATGCAAAAACAAGAGCATTCATTCTCTGGATGTATATATAAAAGTGGACGGCAGTGCATGAAACAGCCGTGCCTTGTTGGTTTTCAAACTGAGGAATGAATGCCGCATGTTCGTCGCAAGATGCGGCTGTTCTAGTTGAGACGGGGGAAGAAGTTAGCGAGCCTAATCCCTCTGCAGGCCTAGCGCAGTTGAGATGAAATGAGCTCAAAGGGGTTTTCAGAGAGAGAAAAAACCCCATCACCGCCCACAATTCTCCATGTGCAAAGGTGAAAATCAACATTGTGGATGGTATCTGCCGGAGCCAGGCGGAGGGCTTGTGAATTCACTCAGCAAAACTTTATTATTATTCTTAGACCTGAGTTAGTTATTGAACTTATCCTCAACAATTCCGTCGATGCTGACAAGATCTTGGCCTTGGCCCCCTCCGCATATCTGGTTTCAAGCCACAATTCCTCTAGTAAGCAGACGACTTCGCTCTAACAGTTGGTAAAACCCTTGAACCAGCTAGCAATGCTCTTTTGGCTTTCGGCTCTTGTGGTCTCCAGGTCCGGAATGGAACATCCAAGCAAGCGTAATTCGCTCTTTTTTTTTTTTTTTTTTATACTTTTGTTGCGTCGAAGTGGGACCTGATGATACTCGCTCTCACCCAGTCTCCAGTCAACCGGAGAAATGGGCGGAAAGGGCCCACCAAGCCTCAGGGCAACGATTGGCGAGCTAACCAAGCGGAAGAGTCGACGATGTTTTCACCCGTAAGGCCAGCGGGTGAGTGGGGTTCCTGCGACCAGTCCAGGCGACGATACGCAACAAATACCGCCGTAAGCAATGGCCGTTGTTGGGGATGCCCGCGCCTGACCTTTGGCCCCTAGCCCAAGCAAGCCGCCAGCACCTGCATGCCGAAGTTGCAAGGGTTGGCGACGGGAAGTGGTTCGGGCCTGTTGCCAGCGCCAATTTGCCTCCCATCCGGGGATTCAAGGGAATTGACTGATTGATGTATGGATGGGGCCCCCGTCGAGCATCTATCTATCGGGTTGTGGTGTTCGTTGGGCATGTATGTGTCTGGTATCGAGATTGGAAATGATATCAAATAGTTATCCAAGCGGCAGAGAAATTGCTGTTAGATCTGCCTTCGGCTGGAGGAGGCCGGGAGCTTGTAAACGTCCCAAACTGCGTCCCTAACTGCATCTAGCTGTAATCTGTATCGCGGGCACGATTAGCTGCTGTGTATCGCACTAAGTCGAGATGGTCCCAAGACAGGCTGAAGGGGGGGCAAATACCCCGTATGATCTTATTCTGCTTCGATGATTACTATTATTACTCTTCCTGGTTATTATTGTTCTTATTGCCATCATCCAGCTCGCGGCACTCTGTTTCTTCTCCCCCTTCCACCCAAACTCGTTGTTGGCCCCGAAGGTTGTTGTTGTTTGCTTCGCTATCTTCCTCGTTTGTTCGGTATAAAACATCAGCCCAATGGCTCAGCACGACAAAATCCAACACAGAACGCCGACAGCCCAAAGTGAATAATCGTCGTTGTGTGTCCTAGGTCGCCCGTTTTCGAACCTCAGGTCCACAGGCACTTTGCGGAGGAGGAGCTGCTACTTTTGTTTTCCGCCGAGCTGCTCACAAGCCATCCCCGCCCCCATCTTCCCCACGCTGTCGCCCTTGAGTGGATGAACATCCCAACTCAGCAATCTCCTGCGGGCCGCTTGGAATCAATATCCGCCTCCCCATACACACACTCTCTCTCCCTCTCCCTCTCCCTTCCTCCCTCTCTCTCTCTCCCCTTCGACTATCAGAGAATCATACATCAACCTGCCCTGGCAAGCCTCGCACTCTCGAAGCCGCTGCATGACAGGGAAGAAATCGCTCCATCCATCTCCACAGCAAACCTCCTCTCCACCCCTCCCCTTGCCACCACCTATTCTCTCCCTTCATCCCCCCTCCCTCTGTTTTCTTTGGCATCTCCCTCCCATTCCGCTGTGGATGCGGGTTTGATTTCTCGACTCCTACAATCATCAGCGGTCTTCACACTGCTGCGTTGCGACCCATCGAGCCCACCTCTCCGATATCCCGAACATGGAGAGCTTCGACACCATGGCCGTCCCTTACCTAGGCAGCCCGCTGTCTATGGCCAATATGCAAAATACGGACTACCTCAATGCCATGCCTTCTCTGGATATGCCAGACTCCCATTCAGCGTACGACCATGAAACATTTGTTAGGTATTGTCCCACTTGCTAACGAACAACCCCATCTTCAATCCCTGCTGGCGCCTTGACTGACCACTCTGTACTTGGGTAGCGGTGACGACATTGGTTATGCGCAGCCTCAGATTCCTGCGCATTCTCTACGACGATTTTCCAATAACCACTTTGACGACCCCTTCCCCGAGATGATAGCCCCATTCGAAACGCTTCCGTCAGATCAGCAATCCCAACAAGACTCCTCCATCGACCATAACCACAAACTGCTCAGCTTTTCTATACCCATATACAATTTTACTCTGCTCGATTATTCGCTACGTCGAACTTCCATCTCCATGGCCGCTCAGCTTCATGGCATGTTTTTTCTTGCCGAATCGCCGTGGACCACATCTCCCACGACCAAGCCAAGTGGTCCGCCCCCGATGGCTGAATTAACTTGCTACAGGCGGAATCTATTCCAAATCACAGGCTCAGTGACACTGCCACGTACAATGAGATATATCATGACAGAGCAGGGTGATCGGATCCCTATACTTGCGCAGGAGCTCACAGTATCGGCAACCGAATCGGTCGAGGGTAATCCCGTGAAAATCATTTCTGTTCCCTGGAAAACGCCTGCAGTCAATGTCACAGGTCAGCCGGAAGACAAGACGGAAAAGGAGCCCCCTTCGATTCCTTTGGATATCATGGCAGGTCAGGATATAGACTCGGATTATGCTACTTTCTCCATTGCGTGGAAGCGACTGCAGTTCCGTATCGCCACTGCGAATAATGGCCGGAGGAAGGAATTGCAGCAACATTTTGTTGTGAGATTGAAGATTGTCGCAACGCTGTCAACAGGTGCTAAGATTTCTATTTGCGAGGCTCATTCTGGGCCTGTAATCGTGCGCGGCCGTAGCCCCAGAAACTTCCAGTCGCGTAAAGATCTTCCCCTTAGCGGTAGTGCCGCATCCTCACGAAAGCATGCCCAGGCAAACGCCAACCGCGCGGCGACGATCGAGGCTCCTTCCTCTCAACAGGGGACAGGAACGAAACGGAGCAAATCTCCCCAGGATCAAGATGCCAGGAAGCAGCAGCTGCCATCATCGTCCTACCCGGAATGGACACAGACTGCAACTGTTCCCTCCGCGCCTCTCCCCACACCCACATTTACCAACGGTGCTGTAAATGATGCAGCCACTTCATATGCGAACTCCAGTCCAGACGTCCATCAGCATCGCGAAAAGCGGCGACGGATCAGTGTCACGGGACGCCCAATCAACCTCTCGTTCATTGACGAGGACTCTAGCCCTGCCAATTCCGCTGGCGACTCCAACTGCACACCCCCTGCCATGTCCATGCCGACAAACGCAGGCATCCATAGATGGCGGGACATCGACGGCTCACCCTCCGAGAAGTTACAAAAGAGCGCTACAGCCCAACCAAAGCGCCAACCTCTAACACACAATCACAATTCCTCAAGCAACGTAACCACCCTAAACCAAATGCAACACCAACTCCAGCCGCCCCTCTTAGCATCTCAGATCATCAATCCCAGTGAAACCGCCGATCTTCTCTATGAGTACTTCCCGCTCGGCCTGGATGACTGGCAAGCCCCTGTCGACGCCGTTTATCGACCGCACGTTGTGCACCATACGCACTTACCGGACGATCCTAAGGCGATAGCCGCGAGGAGTCGTAGTAGGACATATTTCATCGAGGGGAGCTGAAAGGGCGTATCTACATGCATATGACCCTTTTTACGCTATATATATCTTCTTTTTGGCATGGAATGAATATCTACGAGTGCATTCTTATCTTTCCCTCAATTCTATCTACTTTGGATTTCCCACAAGGTTCACAAAGAATGACATCACACACTCGTTCTCTCTGCTTTGGGAGGGAAAACATAATGTCTGTTTTTTTTCCTTTTCCTTTGGGTAAGGGTTGGAAAAAAGTATCAGGGTCCTTTTGCTGTAGTCGGGCTTTTTTTCTTTTCTTTTTCTTTTCTTTTTATTTTCTTTTTCCTCTCCCGTCTACTGTAAACATTTTTTTGTTTCTCCGTTTCTCTTCCCATTTTATTTACTAATTTATTTATTCTGGATACCTATGTATATGATTTTGTAATGTTGACCTTTCTAGCTCACCTCCCTTCGAATTTGTCTTTGTATATTTTATCTAACGGTTTCCCCCTCTCCTTCTTTTCTCGTCCCTTGCGCTAATGATGTATTGTTTTGTTCCTCTCTTCTTCTATATATCCGCTTCTGACATTGAGCCCTCACCCATTCCCCCCCTTTTTGGACACCCTCTGGGTTAGATTTCGCAACAAGACAACAACCAGTATCAGATTCAGTATATAAGAAATATACACACATCACTTATCCGTATACACGCTACAGAAGTATTACTCCTACTGCCCCTAACTTACTAAGCTCCTCTCAACTTAGATTCGATGAGCAAGGAGGTGAGAAAATAACATTGTCTGTCCTTTTACTTGGAGAGCAACAACACCAAACCCCACCCCTCCGGGCGCGCCGCCCCCCCCCAAACAACGGCCCCACACCCCACCTTCTCCTGGTCAGATTTTTGCGGTACAAAGTGCCCAAGGCTCGTGAAATCTTAGTACTCCAAAGCACTTGGGATTTTGATAGGGTACAAAAACACCTCAACCACCGGGGCGAGCCAGTCAAAAAAGAGCTCAAATTTTAGAAGCACGTTCAATCTTTTCCGGATATTCCTTCTTTTCTCGCCCCTCTTCTCTCCTCTATCCTGGATTTCCCCGGGCCGTGGAGTAAAGATAGGTGATATAATATTTTATCTTATCCATATGTCAACATAAAATCCTGTTGAACAGGCCAATTGAAACCAGAGAAAAGATTTTTTTAAAAAAAAAAAAAAAGAAAAAAGAAACATGAAAAAATGAATGAATCAGTGAATCAATCAATGAATGAACGATGATGTTTCATCAACAGCGTAGAATCCGGTCCAATGGCTTGTCATGTTATGGTGGTATTTGTGTTTTGTGTTAACTCACTATATGGGGTGTTTATATCATAATGAACTTCCCGCGGGCCCTTTACTTTACTTTACTTCCCCCCGCCGCCCCACCCTTGGATTTTTTTATTTTTATCGAGATATATTTTAGTTATATATATATATATATATATATACGTCATTACTTTTTTAAAAGAGAGAAAAAAAACAAGAAAAGAAAAGAAAAGAAATTCCCTCCCTGCCTTTCAGCAATGGTGACCCCCTTTTTGTACCCTTTTTTCCTCTAACTTCCTGTAATAACAGTAATAAGTAATAATGGTAATAGTAATAATATATAGTGAATATGGATCCGGGCAAGCGAGCGGTTCCCGGACAGAACTGAGAAATGAAACTTAAAAGAGCAGCAAGCAGCAGTCTGTCTGGGAGGGGAGAAGCCGCCCCATCCCTAAGCAAATTGGATGAAAGTCTTTGATTGATTCCACTGGCGGATGTAGAAGGGGGGGGGAAGAATATTCTTTCCAAACTCCCATTCAAGCGTAGATGTTGGGGGTGGTGGGAAACGAAACCGAAAAAAAAGAAAGAATAAAACCCCTCGAAAAAAAAGAAAACACAAATGGCGCAAAACCGAGGCTTCTTTCGCTTCTCCTTCTCCTTCTTCTCTCTTTCGTTTCTTTTTTTTCCCCTCCTTGCGCCGATCACATCGTGCCGTTTTCCAGAAGAAAGAAGCTGGGAAGCTTGGCTAGCCTAGCCTCCAGACGTTTCGAAACTGGCCAGCCACTCAGCCAGTTGAGCTAACTTAACGCGCCCTCCAGCTGTTTCAAAGCTAAGTCCAGTAAAACTACTTCGTAAAGTTCCGGCTTACAGTGGTTGGTCATGGTGGCTTTTCCTCCTCTCTCGACATCTGCGTTGTTCCAAAAATAAACAAAGGACAGGGGAAAGAGGAACGGTAGAACCGTTCTCAACTGAAATCCGCCGCGTACCCTATACCAGGCATTTTTGGCAGAAATCTGCGGTATCTTGATGACAAGGTGAAAATAGTGGAGTCTCTCTCGCCTCCATCTCATATAAACGCCCTTCACACTTCGCGGCTGTGGCTGCTCGTTGTTTGGCCAAAAAGGCTGGCGGGAAAAGAAGGGGGCTAATAAAAGTGGTTGTTGATATTTAAAATAGATATAACGAAATGCTTTGATGTTTTGACTTCTTTCTCTTCAGCTTGTCTGATTCGACCACTGCTGGGAGGAAAGTAACAGCTAACAGCAGGAGAGCAAGGGGAGAGGGAAGAAAGAAAGAAAAAATAAAAGAAAAGAAAACAAGACTGCAAATGGTGTTGGTAGAAGGGAGCAGCCTCAGGGGCTTCCGATTAGAATCCAGATGTCCATGAGCAGCTTTCTGACTGAGTTCGTAGAGCGAATACCAAACTCACCCACTCACTGCCTTGCCACCTTGGCAAATGGGCCATCATCTCTGTGCAAATTTGAGACACTGGGGATTAAGGGAAAAAAAATAATTCTTGTAACCTGAGTGATAAGGTCAACAGAGATTGGATGGAGAGTGGTGGGAGGGAGGAGAGCACGCAAAGTCCTTTCGGTGGCCAGCAGAAGTTCCGCTCTCAGGCCTGAGGCCCTTATTGACAATATGGTAAGTAACTCCATCCCACGACGAAGCCTTTTGTCTCACTTCCGAGCTCTTTATATGCCCGTATCATTTGCTGAGGTTGAGCCAAAGCCATGATATGGTTGATATCTTGGTCCACATTGCACTGGAGTTGCAATCTCAGATAAGGACCGACAACCTGCTTCTGAAGAAGGGGGGTGGGGGATTCCCAGCCCAATTGCGCATTTCAAGCAAGTAAATCGGAAGTTCAGGAGAAGCCATGCTTCTAGCTTCGACCTTGACCTTGGAGCAGGCATTCCGATCACAGAAAAAAGATAAAAACGTGAGAGAAATTTCCATGCGATGTCAGAACGGATGTGCAATGGGGAGTGTGGTTTTTGGCTTTTCATCGCGGGGAAAAATGAACGGGTGAAGACAGACGCCCTTGCTTGCTTGTCTGCTTCGCCCAGGCAGCCAGATTCGAATATATATATATATATATATGGTCCCCAAAAGAGTTAAGACTTTGGTATTGGTAATCTGGACAAGCCAGGACAACTGAAAATCTGTCTTCGGGAAAGGTCGTTGGAGGGTCAGAAAAGGTGTTTGTCAAACCAACCATGCCCTGCCTTGCCTAAGATGCATCTTCCTATCTCCAGGACGGCGACGTACATCTCTCTAGGTCGGTCCATGAGGGTGCCACAGTAGTCGAGGTGAGACGAGAGAATCACCCACCCACCAAGACAAGACAAGACAAGAAAAAAGTTATCAAGATATATGAGGCGTCGAACCAGCGGGGTGGAATCCGGGAGACACAGTTGGAAGATGTCTCAAGAGGGCTAAAATCGGGTATTTTGCTTTCCCCTCCTGCTGCTGCTGCTGCTGCTGCTGCTGTCTTGAGACGAGACAGACCACCAGCCGCAGCCCGGTGAGGATAGAATCGATCTTGTGCCAGGAGCTGAGGCCTGTGAAGTTAGACGTGAAGCCGCATAACCTCCAACCATCAATGAAGGCAGTGATTATTGGATAGTTCCAGTATTGACAGCTCAGGCGATGACCGGGCACTGCCAGGCTTTGTGTGCTCGCTTGATTCAAAGGAAAAGAAAATTTTGAAAATAATGGGGAATCTCAGAGTTATTTTACAAGCAAGGACCCTTGGTGGTGTGCATATATTAACTATATTCATTCAAAACACAATGAATACTCCCCCTGAAAGGTGGGAAGAAGGGAAACCATTGAGAATAAGTGGACAGTTAGCTAATAGTTAACTATCAGTTAGTATGTATGAATCTTTGGCCAAGAATCATCTGAATCTAATTTATTCTCTGAAGATAGAAAAGGGGGGAACGATGGAACTATGGACTACGGTCAACTCACACTAAGAGACGCTTGCTTGCGTTGGTAGCTCTACAAGATTAGAACCTTGAGGGGAAAAGAGATCAAGGCCTCCCAATGTTATTAGTTTAAACTGCATGGTAATTTGCATATTTTTTTGTACCAAGTGTAGTATAAGCTCACTGTATAACAGGTCCTTATGAGAAAGAAAATGGCATTGGATATTAAACCAATAAACAAACTATATAAAGAAGATTGGATGTATGGTTGAATAGTTACAGAAAATAGATAGTTAGTTGTCAACGCCTAACTAAGCAAGTTGAATATACTTAACAACTGGGAAAATATAACACTCTATTTCTAAGAAAAATATTGTGTTTTCATTTTCTCTGCATTCAAAGTAGTCGGTAGTTAGTTAACTAACTACCATAACTAACTATGTTTTATATTTTTACTACTCCATCATCAAGAAGATATCCATCCACATTTGTTTTGAAATTATACCCTTGAGGACTTAATGAAGACGACTTAAATTTTGATTAAAAAAAAGAAAAGAAAAGAAAAGAAAGATAAGTTGTCTCCATTGTGCTGATAGTGGCATTGCTGAATAAATAGTTGGGTGATTGATCGACTGATTGATTCGTCCAATAATAGTATATATAGATGCTGCATATGCAAAGAAGCAATAAAATCGAATCCTAAAAGCTTTGATGTCAGTTTAACGGTAAGAACCCCGGAAGCCTCCCCCGAGAAGGGCGCCGGGGTATGAGGATTAGGTGGTTCGACAGAAGTTAGTAGTCGTGCTGGCCCAGTTGATGATGTTGAATAGGGTTCTGATGAGATCTTGGATCTTCCTTTGAGATGCTTATTTGATTCTTCAATCCTGGTTTAATTAAACTCTATGATAATATCTTTTTTTTTCCGTTTCAATTGCGCCAATAAAAATAAAAAGCAGACGAAAGGAAAAAGAAAAAAGGAAAAAAAGAAAATCCATAGCCAGGAACCAAACAAAGATGATGTTAGACCTACGAACTCCTGTAAGCTTCCCCATGCTTCCTCCAACCACCACCACTCCACGCCAAGCACGCACATCGTCCATGCGCAGAGAAGAAAGCGTGCAAGTGCAGTGGGAGTGGCCACTCTGGCGAGGTCAGCGTTAACCGCTGAAATTAAAAAGGGCGACTTGACTTGACTGACCAGCGACGAGCGGTCACACAGCAGGGTTGCACACAACTCACGCCCGCGAGGGTTGGCAGGGAGCAACGTTACATCAGCAGGAACTTTTTCATCGTAACTCGTTAACTACGTTAGTTATATTAGAGGCGGAAAAAGGGGGAGGCTTGGCTCTGCTCTCTTTAGTTAGCCTTTGAACGAAATGACCAGTGGAGAAGAGGGAAGAAGAGAATCTGAGATCAATGCTGGCCTCATTGATTGATTGACGAGAAGGAGAGATGCTAGTAGTGGTAGTAAAGAACTGGAGAGAAGGAGAGGATGAAAAACCGCCTTAGTAAGCAGTGGTTCAAGCATTTGGAAACAATACACAATACACAAGCTTTCAGGCTTCCCAAGCTTCCCCAGGCCCTGGTCTGTGCGATATTAAGTTACAGACCTCTACGCCGTAGGGCGATGCGGCGATGCCAGAGACCGCGATACAGCGAGGGACGCTGGTTGATACGCTGGTGTCCGATCGATACCCTAGCGGTCTTGCGAATACCGCGTACCAGCCTGTTTTTGGGACGTATCCACGGATGGCCAACTGAAACGCCTGAAACGCCTGGAATGCCTGGATATCCCGGCCAGGGTTACAGCAGGGCGTGCCCATCCCCCCCCCCACAGGGGTGTCATCGCCCGGGGGCTGCAGCGGCTGTGGCGGGGCCGGTGTGCACACTGGGGACTGGGCATTGGGCAGCAGCAACAAGTCCCGGCAACCGCCCCCCAGCAGGCACGCGATCAGCGCCAGGCTCGCGGGGGTGAATCTGGCCCGGACACTGCGGCATTGACACTAGACATTGGACACTCAGGTCCAGCAACCAGCTCCAGCTCTCGCTACAATTTCGGCCGGAAGTCAACCTTGATTTCCACTCTGGATGTCACCTTTGCTTCAACTCAACTTAACTCGACTCGACTCCACCCCACCCCGCCGCGGCGGCCGCCGCCGCAGGACTCTGTAGCGCTTGGCCACAGCCACTCCATGGCAGCAGATCCACAGCCAGCAGCAAGTGGCGCGGAGACAGCTGCTTGTGGGTGACTCTACTGCCATGTTTCCTCTTCCCAATCGATGATGAGAAGTTGAATTCGCTGTCATCTTCCCCCACGAGCGAGCTAGCTAGCCAGCTGACTAGCCTGCGCAACAGCTGCTCACCAACTGCCCTGCGAAGTTGCGATCCCTCGACGGACCCTCGTTGAAACACGCTCGCCTGGCCACTACCCTTCCTCCAAGCTGCCAGGCCTGTTCTTCCCTGCCCCGCCTCCATCTGCCTGGGGGAGCGTGCATCGTTTCACTCCCAGGTACCACTCGCTCGCTCGCTCGCCGCCAGCTGCCAGACACAGCACAACACGACCCTCCGGGTTTGCCGAACTTAAACCTGGCCTTCCACTCGTCAATCTTCTCCAGTGGGCCAATCTTCTTCAGTGAGGGGGGTGTGTATGTGTGTGAACTCGCTCGATTTTTGTATTCTTTATTCCTATTCTCGATTTTTCAATTTTCTTCTGCTTTTTATTTTTATTTTTATTTTTACTTTTACTTTTTTCCTTTTTTTGATTCCCGATCCTTTCCTTTGTTTTTATTTTTGCGTAACTGGCCCACGTTCTTTTCCTTGTTCCATGCGATCTGAGACTCTAGGTGACCCAATTCAGTAACCCTCCCGCCTCCCGATCACCTTGTGGGTGGATACTGGGCCAGCATCCTGGCGCTCAAGGGATTGCCCGGCCAAAAGTCATCTTGTCTTGTTGGGGGTTGTTCATTTTGTTCCTGCGCGCGGGGGGGAGGGGGTGCAACAATAACATCCGCAGCACGGAGGAGACGAAAGGGCGACATCGAAACAGAAACAGGCCCAGCGCCAAGCAGGAAAGGTGAATTCCGGAAGGGAGTCAGCGAGCGACTGAGCGAGAAGACTGGCCTCCATCATAATATTAACTCTTGCTCGAAACGCAAGAGGAACTAGAGGGCAGACACAGAGAGAGAAAGACATCATAGTAGCGCCTGCAACGCTGCCTTTCGGTCCTTCTTTGGACCGTCCACGAAATCCGACTTCACACTGTCGCACTCGACGGAGGTTGCTGGCGGCTTTAATTGCTGTTGCCCTTTTTTCGTGTGTGGTTTTTTTTTTTGGTTTTGTTTTCTCACTTTTCAATTTTCTTTCTTTTTCCCTCCTCTTCTTTCTCTCAAAAGACAGGACAGAGAGACGTAACTTGGTCCCTGCGCAAATCATTCGCGAAAGCTTGAAAAGGGACTGTCAGGGATTTTTCCTTTCCGCGAAGTATCAGGTACCTAGTTTCTTCCGCCCGAAAGGCTGCCGCTGGATGGTTGCAGATACATCTGGACCCTCTGTGGTTTCGTTCTGGCGTTGCGATAAGTTATATATCTGCGAGTCTCTCCGTCTTCCCCCTGGCTTGATTGATAAACCACCACCGCGACGGCTTACGCATAAGTTGGAGCTTCTCGTAACTTGTCCCGCGTTCCTCGCCGCCCTCATTTAATAATACTACAACCCCTCTTCCCTCCCCTCTCCCCCCCGCGCCCCGATTCACTCGTCCTCCGCGTTGCGCAAGTGTTGTTGTTTGTTGCTTGAGTCACTCTCAAAAGCATTAAACAAACATCCACGGTTGGGCTGCCGTCCACCTCTCGCCACCACAATAGCCGTTCATTCATATATTATCTACTTACAGCTACCAAAATTTCATACGCTGGTCCCGAGGGCAGAAAATGTGGCTGAGTGATTAAAAACTGTTTTGTTTTATCTATGAGCTGTATCTGAGCGTTTCATCGTGGCGTTTCAGAAATCCTTTCCTTTATACAGCTTTTTCTTGACCTGTATATAAATAAAATCATATACACGTCGCGCCACCTGATCAGCCATCTATCTCAAGCCTCATCTTCAACAACCACAACAACACCAACAACAACGCCGCCTCACTCCCTCAGCCCACAGGACTGCCATTTTGAGAGCCTACCACTATACCCATTTCACCTCGCAATGGCAGGCACAATCGCAAGGGTGAACCGCCGCATGCGGGCCTTCTTCCGCAACATCATGACGCTCCTGAAGCGCATGATGATGTTTCCTTCGCAGCTAGGGGACTCATCCGACTCGAGGCAGGATTCATTGTCCAATTCCTCCAAACGGCGTCGACGGACGCTGGATGACTTATCGCAAGAGGTCGAGCGCCTGTTCACAGGTCACCTGAACGTGTCCAACCTGCTGTCCATGTCGAAGAAGATCCGCGCGCAGATCGACATATGCGCCAAGACTAGTCCGGTCTGTATGTTGCCGTCGTTCAACCATACCCTACCCACGGGCAAGGAGAGCGGCACATACCTTGCCATGGACCTCGGAGGATCAACGTTTCGAGTCGCGCTCGTGGAACTTTCGGGAGGTGGGAAGATGAGGATTGTCCGTATGGTCTCGTCGATCATCGACGAGACCGTGAAGTTGCTCGAGGGCAAGGCGTTCTTCGCATGGATGGCGGAGAAGATCGAAGAGATGTTGAGCCGCGGCGAGGAGAAGTACGGCATGGACTCGATGCCCCTTCCAATAGGACTATCGTGGTCGTTCCCAATTGACCAGACTTCGATACGTAGTGGGCGTGTCATTGCCATGGGGAAAGGGTTCCGGTGTTCCAACGGAACGGTGGGTGACGACTTGAGCGAGTTGATCACAGAGGCCTGCAGGGAGCGGAATCTTAATGTTCGGATCGATGCGATCGTGAATGATAGCTCTTCCACCCTCCTCTCGCGGGCATACGAGGACCCTTCCACGCGAGTTTCCCTGATATTGGGTACTGGTACCAATGCCGCCATCCACTACCCGGTCCATGCGATAGGGATTGACAAGTTTGGAACCCGACCAGCTGAATGGTTTGCTCAGGCGGATCACGTCATCGTTAACACAGAGCTTAGCATGTTTGGCGGCGGTGGGGTTTTGCCGACTACCAGATGGGATGATATTCTGAACCAGACACATCTGAGGCCTGATTACCAGCCGCTGGAATACATGTGCACGGGACGATATCTCGGCGAGATCGTTCGCCTCATCATCGTCGAAGCGGTCAAGAAGGAAGGCTTGTTTGGCGGTTCCCTTCCGGAATCTATGCGATCCCCATACACATTCGACACCAGCATCGCCGCGCACATTCAAGATGACACCAGCCCCTCACTGACTTCTTCATCCGCGTATCTCCAAAAACACCACTCCTTTGTCACTGCGCCCTCTCCGGCGGACCTCCAATTCCTTCAACAAATATGCACTTTCGTCACACGGAGAGCAGCCGCCTATCTTGCCGCATCCATCCATGCGCTGTGGTGTCTGCGAAACTCGAGCGAAGCGGCCACTCTCCCACCAACTCCAGATTCCGTCATATCCTCCTCTTCACCCAATGACAACAGCCATGGCAATGACAATCCGGAGTTGTCAAACGACCTGAACAAGAATCCAACCAACAACACCGCCACAACCGCCACAACCGCCACAACTACTACCACCACTGCCACCGCCACAACAACCAACACCACTATCGCGCCAACAATCGACTACAGCACACAAAATGTAACGATTGCCTGTGATGGCTCCGTCATCAACAAATACCCCGGCTTCTACGATCAGTGCCAACAATACCTCAACGATCTGGCGCTAGAACGCGATCCATCATGGCCCTCTCGCCCCATTTCCCCACCGCCGGAGTCTGGCGCGACATCACCCTCTCAGAAAGTGATGACCTCAGTAGTAACGTCGCCATCCATCACGCTCGAGAAAGCGAATGAAAGCGCCCTCTTCGGTGCAGCGGTGGCAGTGGCGGTGGCAGTTTCAGAGCAATAGCGCTTTGATTTTTTTGATTTTTCCAATTCTTTTTTTTTTCATTCTTTGATGGTTTTTGATTTTGTATTGCCTTCATTGTTGTTATTATATTATATTATTTATTTGTTCGTTTGTTCTATTAATTAGAAGGTCTTGTCGCATTTTTTTTTTTTTTTTACTGGAGAGGAATGGGAAGAGATCAGAATACCCTTGCAACGTCGTATACTACACACACGCACATACACAATACACATCCGCACATAGTTACACATATCTACATATTATCCCCCCCTTTTTTTTTCCCATTTTAGCGCTTGGGGGAAAAAAAAAAGATAAATAAAAAAAACACCTACCTCTGAAAAATATTAAATGGTAAATACTATTAAGATCACATCAATCAATACCCTACCCTACCCTACCCACATGCCCACCCAACACGCCTATCGTCAGAACCACTTCCAAGGCCGAACGAAGGGTCTTTCTTAGTTCTTCTTAGCGTCCCTAGTGTTTTATTCATTTTATTTATTTATTTATTTTTATTTATTTTTATTTATTTTTATTTAATATTCTATACCTCATATCACCTATGCATATAGTTTAACATATACCGATGGATCTTTTCTCTCTCCTTTTTCTTTTTGGCTTTTGGCTTTTGGCTTTTTTGTGGTTTATATTTTATATATACATACATACATATATATACCGCTTCTCCCCCCGTCTCGCTGTGTTTTTGGAATTTTGGGTCTTTTTATTTTATTTTTTATTTTTTATGCAGGTGTAAGGGATCATATAGTATATAGGCAGGTAGGCAGGTAGGTAATAGTATATACACACACATAGAGAGAGAGGGGCTGGGGCTGAGGCTGAGAAAATATCTAGTATAGAGTAGTTACATAGTTATGGTAGTATATAACTATACATAATGGGATCATTGTTTATATCATCTGTGATTGTTTCACACACATATACTCTCTCTCTTTCAAAAGCAGGAGATGTCCTCTGTTCAACTGTACACAGCACTTGCGGTATATTAGATGGAATAATGCTCAGGAATTTATGGACCAATTCCAACTCCTTTTTTTTTTTAAAAAAAAAAACAAAAAAAAAACGAAAACAATCGTCTTTTGTAAACAATATAGGTAGAGTTGAAGGCTTCTTTTCCTTTCTGACTTTTGAGACTGATCGCCTTGAGCTTGAGGTGCTTATTTATTTGCCCACTGTAATTAATGTATTCGTCCCCTCGTCATACCAATCCACTGTCCACGATCGTGGGCATTCCGGGGAACGCAGATGCTCCGCTTTGAAAGGCTCTCGTTCCTCCCCCGACCCCTTACGCTAAGTTGAGTCGTGATAAAAAATTCTGGATGGCAGCCTGGCCCATTTAATTTGTTGCCACAGGTCAAAGTTTATTTTGTCTATATATATACATATATATATATATAGTCCTGCCTAGGCATAGACAGCCCTTATCGAAGCCAGCCCACTCAAATCCCAGCACAACAAGTCAGCTCAATCCCGTCGACCCCGTCTTCTTTGCGTCCCGAGATCTCCTCCATGTCCTGGAGTATCTTGTCAATATATTCTCCCGTTTGCCCGACAAATTCAGTATTATATTATATGCAACTGCGCCGATGAAGAGCAAGGAGCCGGGGGGTGATGGAGGCTCTGGTTTGAACCATTAGCCCCAAATAGGGGGTGCGAGAGATCGGGGATTTGGATCTCATCTCATCTCCGGCACAGTATCCAGGAGGAAAGTCTCAATTTGGTACGTATGTTCCTGGGCCAGGGACGGTTTCAAAGGATAGTACTATGGAAACCATACGTCAAGTCACGGGCGTTGTTGCATGGTTGATCAATATTGCTGCCACGGATTATTTAGACGAGAAACATCACAATCCAACATGTCAAGGATATTAAGTGCATTTATTTATTTTATTTACTTATTTATTTATTTTGGATTCGATCTAAAGTGGACCAGTGAACGAGAAAAAAACCAAATACTGGCCAGATAATAACTTACAAATTCATTGTTAGAGCCTGTCTCTATTATTAGAGAATGCGGAAGCATATAGGCTACCTCACGAAACATCAATGATTATCCCCGAAACGGGTTTCCTTCATCATCTTGTCATCTTGCGCAACCGCGGCCCTGATGTATCAGCCCGAACTACTGCCTCCCTCCGATCAAATATTCCGTGATATCACACAACGATGATGGTCACGGACAAGGCTAGCACCTCGAAGTACTGGTATTCGGATGACCAACGGGGTATGGAAAAGAGTTATCCAGCAGGAAGACCGTGAAGCTGGCCAGCTTCTCACCCAGCAGGTTTCCATCGCTGTCGATGTCAACATCGTCTCCGCGACATCTAGGTCTATAAAATTGAAAAAAGAAGCACGGAAGAAGACGTCTTGCGATCGTTCAGAGACCTGAAGGCTCGTAAGTATAGCGAGGCAGGGAGTGGAGGGCTGAAAGAAACCTGACGCGCCTCTCTCTGCTCTGAAATGGTTGATGATGTTGTAGAATCTGTGTTTGGCCTGGGCTACGCTCATCCGCGGGGAAGGATTCAGGACTAGACACCCCTGTCAGTGATGCCGTCAGGTGGGCATTTGACGGCCATGCCGGGCCATTCTATTCCTATTGTTTATATACCCTGGCGGACGATTTTGAAGGTATGAAATCGTTGTTGAACTTAAAGCTCTGCTAAGTAAGTATGCGGAGTAGGGCAATTTTCTTTTGAATCTAGCTGTCAAGCCAAATTCTACACTAAGCCCCTAACTTACTAGCTGCATCCCAATGTACTGTACACCTCAATTGTTGATCTACAAGAAGATATTCTTACATAGTAAGGCTACCGGCAACGTTGAACTAACATGTTTAATCTACAAAGGGAGAAAAGAACAAATATGCATGCATTCAAGCTTCAATAAAGATATATCAAAGGAGACCATGTCATAAATTCAAACCGCCGCCCCCTTTAAAAACCACAACCCTACTTTGACGTACAGCTAACATACAAACAACAGAATTGTAGACTGCAACCACGAACCACGGAATATATAATTTTCACAACAAGCAAATAAGAAACGAAAAGCGAAAACAGGAAATGGGGGAGAGGGAGAGATAAGAGTAAGAAAATTCACCAATCAACGTTAAGTCATTCCATAAACCAAGTCCCTTCACCCACAACCAAAGTGTCAAGGGCACGGAATCGGTTCGGGGTTCACGGCTTCAGCGAAACTTTAGCACCATGGTGGCTAGCACATGTGATGGTGACCCATTCGGTCCACGGTTCTGGGTCGCGCGATTCAATCGTGCGGAAATGTTGCATGAGCCGAACTGTAGTGTACGAAGCTTCTGTGAGGGCGAATTGTTCTGTATTTTATTGGCATGTATCCGAATTGGATGTGCTTTGTGGTTAGAATGTGTTTTCTTTTTCTTTTTTTTGTTTGTGGCGGGGGCGGGGGGGATTCAAAACGAATAGCCAGGGCCGGGTGGTGGCGTAAAGGAAAAGAAATGCGAGGAGACTTACGGCCAAGACAAATCCTCGGTCCACCATTAAATGGCAAATACTCCCAGCCAGGTCTGATAGTTTCCCATCGCTCTGGTCGGAATTCAGCAGCGTCGGGCCCGTAGATGTCCTGGCGTCTGTGCATGGCGTAGACGCTGTAAGCGAGGGTCGTTCCCTTTTTGACAAAAACCGGTGATTTGCCGTCCGGTCCACCACCAAGTGGGAGGATGGTATCGCGAATGGCCGCACGTGCGTTGTTTGGGACAACGGGCCAGAGTCGGAGACCTGGAATGCCGCCAAAAATTGGGTTGTTAGTAAAGCGGTATTTCGCTAAGGGAGCTGCGGTGTGTTGGTTCAATCAGGTTTCTGCGCAAGCTCACATTCGTTAAGCACGTATTTAAGATATTTCATATTTTTAAGTTCTTCGAACGTGGGCTTTCTCCCACCGAGTTGGTCGACCTCTGCACGGAGTTTCTTCAGCACGTCTGGACGTTTGGGGATTATGTTCCAGACATTCGCTAAGAGACTGGCGGTGGTGTCGCGACCGGCAAGCAAGATGTTTAGTGTTTCGGAACGAAGAGCAATGGGATCCTGAGTCTGTTTCGCTAGTTCTTGCAGGAATACGTAGCGGCCCTTTTCGGGAAGAGGACCGCTTCCGTATTTTTCATTCGCGTGATTCTCAAGCGCCTTCTTCACATACCGGTCCGCAAAGTCGTGAATCAGTTTCCGATCCCTTTCAAAGCGCTTGTCGGTCTTGAAATATCTGTCGAGGAGGCCCACCCTTAGGGAGTTGCCAATTTCTGTTGTACAGTAGGTGAAGGCTTCAGCGAAATTTTCTTTAGTAGAGGGTTTGAAGTTCTTATGAAGAGTGTTGGCTGATTCTCCGAACAAAAACTCAGTTGCGGTGTCTGCAGTAAGATCAAAGAACAGCGGCTGGAGGTCAACGGTAGATCCATCGGTAGGGACCACTTGGATAAGGTTCTGTATATGTGCTTCAAAAATAGCCAGTTCGGCGACCTGAGCGCGGTTGAAATTTGGCCGGAGCATAGTTCTTGAGTGTTCCCACTGAGGACCATCTGTGGTGAATATCCCTTGACCAAAAACACCATGGAAGGCTGTCTTCCTAAGGGCGTTAATTTCATAATCAGAAAACTTAAGAGACAACACGCATTTAATATTCTCAGGCTCGCAAGTAGAGATCGCTTGGAACAAAAAGTAGTTAGTTGTTTGCCCGCCCAAACAAATCGTGAGGCATATGCCTGCATCCCAAGTTGTGGCAGGAGGACTTACTAGGTATTCCGACACCGATCAGTGAAAAGGTGTTTCCAAAGATCCGGTAGCGTTTTACGGATTCTTGGAGGAGGATATTCTTTTGCTTATGTCCCCTGAGTTTCATGGTGAGATCCAAACCGAAAATGGGATCTTTGTGTGGGTACGCAGGAGGCGGCCTACATGCATGCTCCTTGACTAGTTTTCGACGTGCGGCACCGACAGTGAAGTAGAGATATACTTGATATAGGGAAAAGCAGCCAAAGGCTACCACCACGACGTGTATCAAGGACAACATTGCAGATGATGTAGCGAAAAACTGAACACAAACTTGTATATTTCGTCCACCGAATCGGGTGTTTGACTGGCACCCCGATCAAGGGGCGAGTACGCAACTATATATGTACTGTGGAAGGAGTTGTGTAAGCGGCCATATTTCTAACGTCCATGCAATTAATAGTGAATGTGCATGTATCCGCAAAAAAACGAATAGACCAGGGGAATCAACGGACATTGATGTAGAGTATGATGTGGATCAATATTCACTCACTCACTTTACTTTGTTTTTAATCAATATCAACCAAGGCGACGCCCTAGAAGAGTTACCGTGGCCTTGCTGCATGGATGACAGCAGGGAGGAGGTAGCTCTCTAGGGAAATATTTATAGCGTTCCCACAAAGCGGGCTTCACAGTGTGAATTTTTATTTTTTATTTTATTTTTTGTGTCAAAGCAACAAATGACAAGAAAAGAATGTGGAATTCATGCTCTATTTCCGGGAATTTGGGAGCCCAGAGAGGTGTCTGCCAGTACCTAAGGCCAAGGAGACATTGGCAGGCCAAACCGGAGCCAGGATGCTTGCTGGATAGATCTCGAGTTCGCTGCTAAGTCAACGGACTTGCCGGCTGCCCCGTCAGAGAGCCAAAATGCCTAGGTTCTATGTCGTTTTGCCGGTGTCGATGGGGATGAATCGCATGCGCATGCGGGGAAGATATCCGCATACCCCGGTGTCCACACAGCGCATTCAGTCGGGATGTCATTATATGTGGACAAGCAACGGTTTCGAAGAACTTGAAGCCGTTATGGTAGGATGTTAATCTGTTACGGCAGCCGTTAGCGACCTTTTGCCATGTTTCATGGCTGTCCCAAGGTAACAGTGGGCAGTGCATAGATTGGCTCACACCATAACACTCGGCGATGAGCCGATTGCATCCAACCGATAATCCACAACCTGGGTGTCACATTGATTGCTGTCCACGAGTATATGCGCTGGTATGTGTTTGGTATGGGGTAGGAGTATCTCATGTGTATACACCATGCATATGTAACACTCAGGATACAGATAAACTTGCTGCGCGAACAAAGGATTCCGCCAGTTGCCGTAACTTAATTCTGGGCTGTTCGTTCCAGACAGCGCCACCGCGCGTAGTTGGGCTCAAGGTCGTCGCCCTCCAGCAAGCAACCGCCATCACTTCTCGTAAACACCCCGCGTTTGTGTTTATAGAGTTCGCCACCGAAGCGATCAACCAGGCATTTGCTACGGTCCGATGGAGCAAAGTCAGCCCGCAATTCCAAAGTCGAAATCTCTGAGTTCTTCAGCTGACCTCCACTAGCATCGCCCGATGAGGGACATGTAGTCTCCGAGTTCAGTGGGAGGGGAAGTCCAAGTGAACGGAGAGTTCTCTATTTGATATAGTATCCTCGTTCTGCCAAGTCAACATCCTAAACCACCAGGAACCGAGAGAGATTTTTATCTCGTTTTGTCAATGGATCCTCCGTGTCAAGGAATGAGATCAGGATATGCTCTTTGCTTGTTTGCTTCGATGAGTTGGTTATACAGCAGCTATGCAGAGTACCTGAATGCAGAGAAAGCATCCAATCCGGCCAGCCAAACGTCTGTTACCATCCATACGGGTTAAAATTAACCCTTGTCAAGCCAAGCAGCCGCCGAAACCGCTAATAGCTACTAAGCGCTACCCTGCATTTTGGACAGGAAGGTGATGTCAGCCTTTATCGATGCCTGTGCATTGAATTTCCGCATGGGCCAAAAATGTGCAGGTAATCGCCAATCCACAGTAGACGGTATCAAGTCTAGGATTTAGGTCCTCTCGAATCCCTTAACTAGTTAAAAATATATGATTACACCACTGAACCTTCGTTTCGAAAATGATCTTGTGTGAAAATTCAATTCCATTGCTTTGTCTAGCGCCAAAGAGTCTTTGGTTGAATCTTCAAATGAAAGCAAACCAAAAAAACTAAGAAAATCGATATACCGTCTTGAACTACTGGAGAAGAAAGTGAGCGAAAAGGAATCAGGTAGCCGGACATGGCGTATGATGTCCATGTCCATGAATACTAAGCCTAAGTACTAGTGTGAAGATTTAGCGGACTTGGTCTTGTTCTTGGAATTAGATCCTAATTTCTAAACATAGCACTAACTCTTTATCTTTTCCGAATACGTGGTGAGAAAAGTCTGTGCTCATCATGGTCAGAATCGCCTTAAAAATTCAAACTACGCTCAAGGTGCCCATCACCTAGACCAACACCGACTTTTCAGCAGCACTTATCCGTATATTCTTCGAAATGACTGACAATGACCAGTATATATTTACATCTATATAAGAAAAATATAGAATTACTAATTACAATACCATAGGGTTGCAAGATCTTAAAGAAGATAGAAAAGGGTCTAAACTCTTATCTACATCCTGTCTACCAACGTTCAACTTTTTGATAACGACGTTCACCTAGAACCCGAATACGAATACTGTGGGCGGACTTACTCATTCATCTCCACGGGGTTTATTTAGCCTGAGGACGGATTTGAGCATCTACTCGGTTGCCTTGAAGTGCATTCTCTTTTCGTTAGCGAGGAAATTGGCCATGCGATTATCTTTACCCACCCCTCATCCCATTCATTGATGCCTCTGAGATAACCGAGGTTTGTCGTCGAGGGCGTTGCACTAACCTTGGCCAAGTTCTTTTGCATAATTTAATTTTAGAAAGAAAAGAAACGAAAAGAAAATCGCTAACCGTTCGGCCTTTTTTTTCCCTTGACAGCCTCCCTTCTGGGCCTGGCGCTATCCAATCCATCATCGAAGTCTGACTTTCTGGCTTTGGTCAGCTCGTTGCCATCCTCGCTGGGTGTACAAAGAAGCGGAGCCGTTGGCCCTTGTGAGAGAGGCACATGGTATCTGTGTACACTGCATATGCATACTCGATACAGACTATACCCGTCGGAGAGTATCGGGGTGTGTAACCAGGGGTGGATGTTTTGCAACTCTTGCTGAAAAGTCTCCATGTGTTAAAAGTGCTCGCAACCTGTGAGGCGGGGGAGATAGATCTTTTGCTTATAATAAGTGTCCCCAATCCAGGGTCTTGTCTTCCGCCTTCTTCTATACTTTGAACTTGTATAGAATGAAATATAGGTATAAAAATTTGTTGAAGCTCTTGCAATCAATAGCCCTGGTGAGCTACTGAATGACGGTAGAAACCTGGCTTTGAGGAATTGGATGTTGACACAAGTTGCACCGCTGAGAAGCGGGAAGAATACAGCTGATTCCGGACCAACTGCTTTAAAAACCATTTCAAGGTAAATCAGAATAATTAGCTGATCATGGACCAGTCGCGGACCAAGTTCAAGATCACACGCATGGACCTATGCGAGGTATGTATGTGCACAGATTAGTTAGTGCCCATAGTGATAGGCGCCATGCTGGCTGGCTAAATTTGTGCCCATGATCAACCCTGCAGGCCCAACCCCAACCTCCTGGTTGCAACCAAGGCTACAGCCAATTTTGGAGCCTATTTTCGAAGACGGAGTGCAGACAGATATTTTTTACGACCCCAGATTTGGACAGGAAACTGAAGAATAGTTGCAGATATCTTTCTCCGGCAGAGACTTCTTAGATATCAACTTATCAGAGACAGTTTCCGAGGAGCAACTCCGGCATAGAAAGTTCTGTGAGATCTTTCTTGTTGTGGATAACCATGGCAATATTCATTCTAGGAATATGGTGATAATGGAGGATGATAACCCACCGAGAGCAATCTGGATTGAAGAACTTCAGCAGGAGTGGGTTGATTTCGAGAAGCTCCTTGTTCCTGAGATGGCTGAGGACTTGGCAGATGCGGTTGACATCCTCCCTCACTCGAAGAGTTCCACCCACACCAGTTACAAATATCTTCTGGTCATGTATGTACAAGGTAGATTCCATGGATAAAAGGACAAACCAGTGTCTCAATCTTATTATTGATAATCTGGTTCGCTACCTAGCACAGTGACATTTCAAGACACACACCTTCATATTGCGATGCTACATGAAGATAAATTTAGATTTCTCCATCCATGATTTATTGTCGGATCACTTCCAGTCTTCGGGGCCACTGCATCCTTGAGATGCTGATATGTCTTCTTGCACTTTGGAATGACAAATTGATCAGGAAATGATGCTGCTCGGCTTTGGACAAGTTGATAGCATGGGGTAAAAGAAGAGGTCTATTCTCGCCTCCATTTTGTGGCGGTGGTGCATGCATATCGAGTCGACGGTTTCGCTGAATCGAGACATATGATCAAGAATTCAAGATGAGAAATAACCGCGGACATTTTCAAATGGATGCGAGTTTAGTTGACCGATGATGAATCGCGAGGCCTGTAGTATTCAGACCTTCTCACCATGATATCAAAGATGACTCCTAGCATGGATAATCGACATGATAAATTCAAGTTTCTGCAACTCTTCATGTATGCATTCCAAGGGGGATGGGTGAGACAGAGAGATGATCATACATAGTGAGGGGAAATAGCGATATGTATACGCCAAAGGACGCCTGAAAATGGCCACAAAGCAATGCTGATAAAATAATATGTACAGTAAGATTCCGAGTCAATGAGGCCAGGAGGAATGAGAAGGCCAAGGGAGACACATATAGCACACATGCCAATAAAAAAAATGGAAATGTCAAGTTGAAGAAAATGGGCATCTTGATATATCACTTTCGGAAACTAGAAAGTTGCAGAGATATGGCAGCTTCCCATTGGTATTTATCGTCCCGTTATCCAGCTCGTCCAACTTCTTTTCGATTCATTCGATCCTTCATGTGTTTTCGGTTCTAATTGGCCACCAGGGTTCGGCCCTCGTTCGAATGGTGCAGCGTTATCGACCCTGCTGGCATTCACAGCTTCCAGCACGCTCGGTCTCGAATCGGCAATTTCGTCGGCGCCTTTGAATCCAGCACTTGGAATGTCTTCATTTTTCAATCCTCCAAATAACCATGCCTTTCCCTTGTAAAACATTGTTTGCTTTTTCAGCTCTTCATTTAGTCTCTTTTCCTCCTCCGCCTGTTTCTCCTTTTCCAACAATAGAAGTTGATCTGGCGTGGGATTGCCCGCGACATATGCCTTTCTTGCATCTAAGAGCTTTTGTAATTCCTTATCAATCCACAGTTGTCTTTGGCGGCGATTGTAGATTATCAAAGATGTTGCTGAGTAGATTGTGAGAGCAGCAGCGATACCTAAATTCAAAGGATAAACCATCTAGTAAGCACTATACCCAAGAACAGGAAACACCAGAAGGATAACAGCGAATCCAGGATGATAAATTCTATTTCCCATATTCCAATCCTGGTGAAATCACGATACAACTTGGGAACAGGTAAATTAGCTGATCAGGGACCGAGGAAATGGACTGTACCGGACGCAGTTATAAGGGTATAAACTGTAATTTTGTGCGCACGGTCAGCCCATATCCGTCCTTTGGACATAATCCGATCCATCGGGGTAAACGCTTTCGAATACCGCGCGGCCCGAGCCTCAGCACGTAGCCGCTCAACCTTTTGCTTGGGAGTCTCTTGTTTGGAGCCTTCGGGACCTGCGAACGGTCCGGTCGTCTTGGACGTGCTGGACTTTGCGCCTGTCCATTTTGGGGTTCCGGTATTTACTATTGACGTTTTCGAGGAGGCATAGGGACCTGTCGCTGTGAAGCGGGTTGCATCTGCCGCGGACCGGGACATAGTTGCGGGAAGGGAGGGAGGCCAATTGGCCTTTCGGGGCGGGGTACAGGGCGTTATTAAGATGTCACTGGCAATATGAACCACGGCGGAGTGTATACTACGGGCTAGAAAGTAATAAAGGGTTAGGATCGTAGCTGTCCGGGGTTGAGTTGGAATGTGGAGGCTTCGTCGGTAGCTTCAAGGTTGGGAAATTTTTCGAACTCGGAGGAGTCAGCCAAGACTCAAACTAAATCAGGACTAGCGCAAGAGAGCCATTGAACCTCTCGATACTTGACTCCGCAACACCATCAAGAGAGCACAAGAGCAAAGATACTATAGTAGTACAGACAGGTATTGAGTTTTTGGATACTGAGGAACCATTGACGAATGGTGCCGGTTTTCTCGTCAAAACACCCACAATCAGACCTAATGGCAGCTCCATCACACAGCCCTGTCCCGGATCTCACGTCTGTACTGAGGACGCTATCAGCATATACACCAGGTGTTCACGACCAATCTCGAATTCATAACCCTCCAGTTGAGAGCTCGAATAATAATTCGTATACTAGACCAACTTCAACCTTTAGACATGCCCCCCTGGAACAGCATACATTGGAGCTAAATCAACCACCCAACATACCTGACCCGTCCACTATAACCACCTGGCCCGCGGCATTGAAATATGTCATGAAAACCGTGGCACAGAATGAAGCCACCCAGTCCAAGATCAAGAGACTGATCCGCACGCAACACGACCATGAGAGACAGTGGTGGGAGGGCAGACAGGCATTGCTATCAAAGCAGGCAGGCCGGGAAGCAAAGAAGAGACAGATTGATGAGGTCTTGTAAGCCGAGGAATTCTAATCTCCGCTGTTTTATTGAAATTATGCCTTTGCGAACGGTTTTGATAACTCTCGTTCCCAGACGTTCGGTTGGTGGATTTGTTGCGAAAGACTCGGATGGTCCCGTATGTGCATTCCCCACCTACACCTGATGAAAAACATCGTGACCATTTCCATTTTGCCTCTAAATTTATGAACTGTTATATCTGAGGGGCATGGCCATGCTGATATGTTTTTGCTTCTGCATAGACCCCTCAAGATGACAAAATCGAACTTTGCACATACGATAAAAAGGTGTACAAGGCCCTGACAACAATGTCGAAGTCTCTAAACGCTGAACTTCGCGCCTTGGGTATACCCTTTTTTACTATCCGGGACGAATTAGTTGATTCGTCATGTGATCCGGTTTCGGAGTCTCATTCAAGTGATCTTCTCAAACCGGGTGAGCTGAAGGCTCTGCGGCTGCAAATGCTGCAACTCTTGGAAGATCTTTGCAAAGATTGATGCTTGGGTATCCAGCAGAAGTCCGTGCCAGCCAAACAGTGTCTCTTGAAGGAGGCAATTGATAACAAACACGCAGCCCCACCCACATCGTTGAACACCATAGAGCAGGCTGGATCCGCCTCCTTGCTACTGTATTGTCAAGACACGGCTGCGTCGTACGAAATACGGGATTCCTATTTCTTATCGTCCGCTTGTTAAAAATAAATTGATTGATATTATCCATTCGATCAAGTTTTCAAACACACATGAAACAATTGAACTCTTCGCACTTCTCACGATTTCATATTTGCCGAGCTGCAACGGAATTGCCTCTGCTCGTCTTTTGAAAGAGATCCTTGCGATTCCTAGCGAAGGATTTGCGTGCTTGCGATGTGCTGTCTGTCACCTGTCTGCGGGATGTGGATGGCCGCCCAGGTATCTATCCATGTAGCTAAAAGAAGTGAAAAGTGGACTTGTTTCATTCCAGGAAATGTGATTTTTCTCCAGCAATAGCAACTTCTAGTGCGATGGTGGATTGGTCGAATCGACCCAGCAAACCCACTTTTAATCTCCTACCGCTTTCCAAGTTCGTATTTTCGTTCCTGGATTTTTCCTCCTGGTTGTGTCAACTAGATCGGGTGGAACGTTAATATATTCAATACTTTCGGGAAGATGCGGTCCGCGAGAATGCTTCTATGCGAAGTATAGCGGTTAATTTATCAAAAAATGATATTCACTATCCAAGGACCAATACAGCTGGGTTTCGTCTTTACCGTCTACCGACTCAGAGCCTGCCTGATGGCTACTTGGGGGTAATAGAGTAGCAAACGATTTTGCGCTGGTAGTTCACTAACCGGCGATGGCATATCAAGTGACCTGCTTGGATTTTTGCGGAATAACCCATTGTTTCTGAAAAGTAAAGCCAACAAAGGGGTTGTGAAATTTGAATTTGTTTGCTATGCGAACTTTTCCCAAAACACCCGATACAGGGGTAAAGAAATAATCCCTTGTTTCTCGGTGGCGTCAGATTTTCCACACGAAACATCGTCGATTTTGAAAGGCGGAAAATGCTAATTAGACATTTTCCAGTGTCTGCGATTTTGATTTAAGCTCATAAATACTCAGGAAGCTGGCATCAGCTTTAAACATACGCCCCTTCGCATGCTAATTTCCTTTGATGCTTTGATGTTGATATAAGAGAGAACCTACTTCGACGGGCTTTCTTTTTGCCTGAGGGAAGGAATTCCGTTTGATAACCGGAGACCTTACTAACATGGAAATTCCCGTGCAGAACGACAATGATAATATTCTTTACGTTTACAAACAGATTCACCAAGTGACAGATTCTCAAGGATAACTTACTGGCTGGAAGTTAATCCTTCATTTGCTATATAAGAGCCATGGTGAAGCCATCCATATCATTTCTCCAAGCCGTGCTTGCATATCTTCTCGATCTTATATATATCATTCACAATAACACCCTTGAACGTGTCCACCTCCATCGTGACATAGCCTTGATCCTAAACTCCAAGAGAAAACAGAACGAAGAAGAACGAGACGAAGGGGAATAGCAGTGAAGGAAGCGACCAACAGCCATGGCAATTAGAACCGCCGACGACCCCCCGACCGATGACACCCCAGTCATCGGCATCCGGATTGTCGCCCATCAAGTTTCTTCAACCGGTTTCAACCACTGGTCCATATACCTACGCACGCCGGACGGTGGCGCTACGCAAATGAACATGACAGCCACAGCTAACAACCGCACAGGGAATCTGGTCTGGTCCAAACACTCTAAAGATGAGCCGAACTCTATAGTCTTGGCTTGGGACTGGCCCGTTTCTGCCAATGCTAAAATTACAAATTTCATGAATGCCATCAGCCAGTGCAAGCGTGAGTCGTATACGTTCCCGGCGAATAGTGATGGATGCCGGCATTGGATGTAGGTTCAACTTTTCATCCCATATTTTCATCCCTTCAGTTTCCCAGCAGTCTGTGGCACCTACCACTTGCTTATTTTGCTAACCATCGCCTCTGCAGAGCCACGGTTTTGTCAGATTTTGTCGACCACAACCTCATTAAGGACGAGGTTTCTGAGAGAATGGTTGGAAACATGTGCTATCGGTATTATTTAGATGCATGCCCAACGTGGCTACCTATCATTCCAGGCACTTTCGCCAAGGAAATAAATACCGAGAATTCAGTGTTAAATCGGCTTGTATAGATGGGTATCGCTTTTCCCTGGGCCTCTCGTATCGGTTTCTTGCTTCCATATACAATGTTGAATTAAGAATTGCTTGATGAGTATATATCATTTTGTTTTCGGCGAGGAATAGTATAGTTGGATCTATAATTCAATTTTACCCAGAGTTTCATTGCTGGTTATTGATTTAGAGTAGGAGTTATTTGGCCTTGAATTGTTTTTCTCTTTCTCGAGGTTTTCCTTTTTGTTGGGGGGCGGGAGAGGGGGGTGTTGGTTTTGGGGGGGTATGTAATTAAATGATGATTCAATGCAACAAATTCCAGGCCCTTCATCCGCATCATTTCCAATTCTAGACATGCATATATATGCATATACTCGTTCCTGGTCATTTTCTGTTTAACCTCGGAGAGTTTAGTGAAATATCCTCAATCCAAGCAACAAGGGTGACCGATATGAAGATTGAAGCCGTAACTGTTCATATATATATAAATATATGCTGGTCACGGAACGGGGCCATGAATCGAGCCCAGCCAGTGCTATGTTATCAGTTGCATACGAACACATGTCCGATATCTGACGACTTTGGTGGACATCCATAGAGGCAGGCTTGTTCTCTTCACTTCACTTCCAACAACAATGATGCCACCTTAATTCTTTAAGGGTAGAGCCGAGTATTGCTGAATGAATGAATATATATGAATTTTTGGAGTACCCATAAATGGCGACCCCTGATCTACCAATCTGATTCTGATTTATCTAAAATCCTAAAAGAAATTTTCATCATATGTTTCAGTTTGGAAATGAGAAGACGTTCAGTTGTGCTTTGTAAAGGGGTGGCTTGGAGTGGAGGGGGTTAGAGAGGAGGAAGGGGGAAAGGTTCCCAAGAGAAAGGGAAAGGAAAAACTTCGGGATTGTTGATGAAAGGTGAAAAATCTTTGTTTTAGCGGGATAAAGGATTTTAGTTAAAATTTCATAAGCTGAAATGATGAAAATATGTTTCCTTTGTACCAAAGATTCTTGCTTCGTATCGCCATGCTTTGACCGATTCGATTGGATTCAACGGAAATTGAAAAAAGAGATGAATTTAGTATTAAAAAAAAGTAAGGGGCAAGTCGTTTCTACTTTGTGCTTTTCTTCTAGAGGCGGTCAAAAGAAAATTGAGAAAGAAGAGAAAAGTGGAAAAAAGAAAAGGCAGGGAGAAAAAAACACTTCAAGCAGACCCATTGGTATGCCCGTTGACATTCTCCCCATTACTCGAGACGCCATTTTGCTTCGCAACTCTAAGGGTCCTGCGAACGCGTACGCTTTCAGCAAGCTGCTCCAGCACTTCAACGGTCATTTCCCAATTGATACAAGCATCGGTAATGCTGACACCCTTGGCGAGGCCCGACGGACCTTCCGGCGGCACCTTCTGGTTCCCTTCATAAATATTCGACTCGATCATCACACCGATGATAGCCTCCTCGCCATTCCGCAGCTGGTCGCCAACACATTGAGCGACAATGGGCTGGTTGAGGTGGTTCTTTTTCGAGTTCCCATGCGAGCAGTCGACCATGACGATCTCGCGCTGCTTCTTCTGGCGCAGGTCTTGGCGAGCTGCTTTAATGCTCTCCGCATCATAGTTAGTCCCGTTCGTGCCGCCGCGGAGTATCACAAAGCCATGCTCGTTACCGCATGTCTTGGTGATGGCAGCTAGTCCTTGCTTCGTGACGCCGAGGAAATGGTGTGGATTTGCAGCTGCACCAATGGCATCGATGGCAACACCTAGGTTGCCATCCGTGCCGTTCTTGTAGCCAATGGGGAAACTGAGGCCCGACGCAAGTTCCCGGTGGAGTTGCGATTCGGTTGTTCGGGCGCCAATGGCGCCCAGGGAAATCAGGTCTGCAAGAAATTGGGGGGAGATTGTGTCCAGCATTTCGCTGGCGATGGGCATGCCCATGCCGTTCAAGTCAGCATAGAGCTTTCTCGAGATGCGTAAGCCCTTGTTGATGTTGTAAGATTCATCGATGTCTGGGTCGTTGATCAAGCCCTTCCACCCGACGGTGGTGCGGGGCTTCTCTAAATAGGCGCGCATGATGATACAGAGATCCGACTTCAGCTTGTCAGAGAGGCTCTTCAGTCGTCTAGCATATTCTAGGGCGGTATCTGGGTCGTGGATCGAGCATGGCCCGCATACAACGAGGAGACGGTCATCGCGTTGTTCAATGATTTCAATCGCCTGGCTGCGGCCGGATTGAACTGTTTCAATAGCTAGTTTTGGCTGTGTAGAGAGTTAGATAATTGTCTAATCTTCAATTGTCTATGCCCCTTTTGTTCGCCATAGATATTGTATGCTATCCTCGCAATTCGAGACAGGTGTGACTTACAGCACGGATTTCTGTCTGGAGGAATTGAGGAGAGAGGAGAGGGTCGTATCCCAGGACTAACATGTCGATCAGTTCTTGATGGGATTTTATAAGTTAACAGTATAAGATACAAAACCGAACTCACTCCTGGTATCTTCGTTGACTTCAACAGAAGCCTTTACCAGCGGCATTGTGAGGGTATGCGAATGGGTCACAGAGAGGTAAAAAATAATTCTTTGCAGGGGGCGGAAGGGAGGGGTCAGCCGAAATGGGTTTTTAAACTATCTTGGAGAAGTAATCAAACAGGGTGCACAAAAAGAAAACACAGCCAGTTTGCAGGGCGGCGCGGTATTTAAGAAGCAAATAGTAAGACACAAAATTGAGCTTTGTTTCTTTTTTTGTCGTCCCTGTTCTCTTGACGCATTGTTGTTTGTTACTCAGAAATTTTGGCCGGATGCTTGATAACGGGCTCAATGACTCAGCGCCAGGTTTTCATGTGCGATAACAAATTCTAGCTTGCACACGTGATTAGGGCACCCGAAGCTCTGTCGCCCGCCCCTTGAGCTATCCAGGACATACGAGGTGTGATAATATCTGGTAGATGATAGAACGTTACAACTACAATCTGGTTATCAGGCAGTTGTCTTTCCTTGATCGATGGTCCGGGGCTGCAACGGCAGTATTACAGCCTGCTGACATACTGGCATTGCACCCGATGTGCGTCATTCCTCCATTTTCTGCTGCTCGCGTACAGCTGCGGAATCCACAGCCAAGTGGCACACTCTTCAGGTCAGCCTTCACGAAGAGCCAGCTGTAAGTTTTAAGAACCAGGCGAATTCAGAATTTGGGATGTGTTAGATTGCGAGATGAGGGTCCTGAGGGGTGGAAACAATAGTATGAGAATGCAGATGACGCCAGGGATCATTCGACCCATGCCATTCAGTGGCTTCCCTGAAGCCAAGAGAGACCTCTTCATCATTCAGCGATGCCAATTGGCTCCACAGCTCAAGTTTGAGAATCTCTGGTGCCCACAGATTCGCGATCTGCTGGCGGGTTTGTGCCTGCCCGTCGTCCGGCCAAAAATAGGAATATCCTCGGTGCTTTTGGTGGCCAGGGCCCCTGCTTGCAGCCGTCCTTCTTTTGAGCTATGGCCATCGAGTAGCCGTCCAGAGAGCTAGCGCCCAACTTTGGGCGGTAAAATGGATGCTATGGCCCTTGTCCTGCATTTTTGATCTTCGGGTACGACTATTTGTTTTTCGGCTCGGGACATCCTAAACTTCTTCTCAAAATTGGACTTCTCAACACCCCTGGTTTGGAAGGCCTAGCTGTGTGGTTAGAAGCTACTAATGGTTTACGCAGTAGAGTCAATGCTGCAGTCATTTTGTGCTATCTTGTCCAACTCTCCCTCTCCGAGTGGGTAATACAAAGTGAGAAATAGGGTGTTGCAAATAATCGAATACGGGTCAATCGCATCCCGTGCTTCCGCCATCATGGCTAGAAAATTTTACTTAGGTTTAGGTGGCTACAAGATTTTGGCAGATTTGATTTTTGGAAAAGAAATCAACTTGGAAAACTTATATGAAGTTGATTTAATTTCTTGATTATGATTCCCCATGTTGTGTCCACTCCTCAAAAACCTAAGATCCCCAGAGCGGTTTATGAAGTAATGTTTTACGGGTATGTAGGACTGAGTGAATCCGTCCATCCAGACGCTGCAGTTCATATGACAAGAACAGGAGGATGGTGTCTTATCGCGAGTGCGTCAGTAATCTACTTGGATCATAATGTTGTCGATGCCAACGACTCAAACTCCCAAGCCCTGCAGTCTGCAGAGACGTACGACATCACCGTTGCTGGGTACTGAAGTAAAATGGTCAATGCGGGTCAAAATCCGAGCCGATCACCCAATCTTCAGCCTCTTGAAGAGTCAAGGGGCGAGATCGAGATCGTCATCCCGTCGGAAGGATTTTATCAGGATGAAACTTTTCCCCGAATACAAGTCCAAAGAGCTTGATAATTACTCATTTCGCATGCAACGCCAGTCCAGTCCAGTTATATAATCGAGTGCTCCGTACTTTGCCATTTTTGCGGAGTATCTTCGCGGCTTTGATTCGCACATTCGGGATACGGCTGACGGGATGCGGAGTTCCAAGGTTACTACTAGGCATCGATCAGCAAGACCCTGTGTACCCAACAGAGGACAGACAATTCCCACGGGATAACGATGCCTTGGTCAGAGCATTTGCTAGTGTTTGACACCACAGGACCAATTGCGCCCTCCACAATCAGCACTTGCCGTTGTTCTTTGGTCTCTGTTGCTGTTCCGTCAAAAAAGGTCTGGGCGCTGGAAATTTCATGCACTAGTTCGAAAGCAGTTAAACCAAAACAACCCTGAAGAGGAGATTCACGGATCAATATTTATCCATTGCCGGCCAATCCAGTTTAACCACATATTTTGGGCAAGCATTGCACGATGATTGGCCCAGGCGTGCTCAGGGCAACTTGGCTCGTTAGTTACTAAGCACGAGCATGACGCTGGATGAACCCCGAGCTCCATCGTTGGCCTCCAACCCCACACGTCTTCAAACAACCATCTCGAAGGATCAGACAGGAGCAGTATCATACTCGCTGAAACCTCGCATCATGTAGCGCTCATTTCTGCCTGGCTTGTCGTCGTTTGTCCCGCCCACTCGTATCCCAATATCTATTTGAATTGATTTCCTCCCTCCCTTTCCCTCTTATATGGTCGATTACAAACAGATTCCGGTGAGACTCCGTCTCTCTCATCCGTTGTTCTCCATTCTCCCGGACTTCGTGGTAGTGTCTCGTTCAGGAGGTGGGAATAATGTCGTGTATATCTGTCAAGCGACAACGGGAAGATTCTTTTGAAAGGGCGGATTTGGATTGGCATTGGGATCGGAAGGTTTGTATATGCTGGATGCAGCGAGCATTTGCTCCCGTCTTTTCAACAGCACAGAGGATTGTTCATTTCGAACGCTGCTATTTGTTCTTCAAATTTCGAATGCTAACCCTCCTGTAGAAGCCGCGACCACTACCTTTTCGAACCTCTCCCACGTCAAAACACACAACTCTGTTTTCTCAAACTCACCAATTCTTTGATACACCCACCGAATCTTCAGATGATGACGACAATGGAGCAACTTCAGAAGTTGCTATGGTGCCTCGATACCAGACGGGGAAGAAAGATGACATGACATATCTTTCGATCAGAGTGCAGCCATGTCACGACAACGACTCCGACGTCGAGATGACCGACCTACCCCGTTCCTCCTCGAACACCATCGCTCCATGTTCAGCAGCGGAGTTGACGCCCAATTGGTCCGGGAGCGTGATGTCATCACCAATCCCGCATCGTTTGATTGTCCAATCTCTCAATATCAGCGGTGGCCGCACTGCAACACCCATATATGGACATTTCACTGCAAATATGAGCATCAACGCTATGAGAGAGGACTCCGGTACTGCAAATGATACTTCCGGATTCGTGCCTCCATCCACCACCATTTCTGATAGCATCGATGTTGCAACTTCTATCGCTTCGTCTACCAGATCCTTAGTTGTGTTATCAGATGGAGAAGACCGGTGGCGTCCCCGGAGACTCCCAAGCCCGATCAGTGAAGGTGAAATTTCCCCAATGACCACTTTCTCCCAGATAGACCGGCATTTTGAAAGCACAACTTTAGCCACTGCCAACAATCTCCGAAAATCTTCGTCCTTCACTCACTCCTGGGAGAAAGAGCCCGCAGACACATCTACCTTAGAACCGCAGCAACGCTCTTTGACACCGCACCACAGCCTAAATCACAATATCACATCTACTGCTAATGACACTTCTGGAAATTCTACCTTCAGCGACTATACTAAACAACCCGTCCCCGATCAAAAGCAGAGGTGCCACATCGATGATAACCCATCCATACATACCTGGAGCCGACAACCAGCATACGACAATGCATCCTCGGAAAATAGCGATACAGCCATCCCTCAGAGGAAGAAAACCGGCGGCCCGAACAAAATGAGCATTGCCATGGGTTACCGTGCCGATTGTGATAAGTGCCAGAGGCGTGTACCGGGACATTATAGCCATATTATTCGCGGGTGATTTGAAATTTTCTTGCCTTTTTTTTTTTTGTTTATTTTCATTTTTCTTTGCTTTTTCCCCTTCTTTCTAATAAAAAACGCTTCCTACTTTTCAATGTATTGTACTGTACATTATAGTTTTTCTACCCATCTCTAGCATGATTTATGAGATTTATGAGGTTAGTTGAGTTTGTTTTGGATTTTTGATTTTTGATTCTTCAGCCGCCTATTCCCAGCCCTTGAGGCAATGATGACTGTTTTTGTATATGGATCACTTTTTGTCCCTGCTTCTCATGAGTCATATAACTGATGTGTATATTACATGATGGTTTTTGATTTCTGTGAATGCAATAACTCTCATTGGTGGTTTACACCTGATCACAGAGGATTTATTTTACAAATAAACCTAGCTGGCAGTAGAAATATAAATCAATCCGCAGATGAAGGGAATAAATGCTGTATCATGAGTGAACATGAGTGAATTGAAAGTATCAGCCACCTTGAATCAAACCTAGTAGGATTCTTTCTCCTCTTCATTCGGTATTATTTTCCACACTCTTAACGACAAGGGTATATATATTGGTTTTTTCTCATATATATTGGTTTTGTCTCATCTACTCCAGCTACTTGATTGTAAAATTTTTAAAATTCTTCAAAGAAAACCGGATAAAAACATTTGATGATAATAAATAATATATAGAATGATAATATCAGGGAAATGCCAATAGAAACGAAGGACAAGTAAGAGAATATAACCCCTTCAGATAAACGGACAAACGAAATTTCGAGTCAAAAGTCCCCAGGTGGGCGATCAACTGCGGCCCCCCTTTCCCCAGATCATAGTCTACAGAGCTTCTGCGACGGAGGATACGGCTCTAGCCAACAGTAAACAAACAAACAAAAAAAAAATAACTCCGATATACCATGATTCCATATGACCATTATACAGCCTTCATATCCCATAACCATAACCATAACCATAACCATAACCACGTAGCAAATAGCATAAAATCCCATCGTCATCATCATGAAATCATTACAACCTAAACCAAAACGACCTCAGACACACACACACAACAACTCGTCTTCAAAGATAGATCGACTCCATCGGCTCCATCGGCGCTGTCCCCTTTGCATCCACTCTCATCGAACCAAGAAACTCAACATCCTCCTCCATCACCACCGCCGCCGCCGCCGCCATCACCACCACAACCGCCATGGCCGCCACCGCCATCACCACCCCCATCATAACCACCGTCGATGCCTCTGCTCCACTTCTTCTTCTTCTTCTTGGTGGTGGCGGGCGGGTAATAATATGTTGACGCGAAGCGTTGATCTGGCCTAGGGTAGTAGTGGACCGGGCGGGGTGCTGGGGTTCTGTACTCTCTGTCCGAGGAGGAGAAGCACATTGTTGATTCTATTTTCCCTCTTTTTTTCTGTGACAGAGGAGTGCGTTTTGCGCGTTGCTGAACTTTCTCTATGGCGTTGTTGTGTTTCGTTTTCGGGTCCTCAATCGGTTGCGTTATGCACGGACATGTGAGTTCGGTTTTGACTTGGAGAGACAAAAACCAGGTTGAGATAAAAAAGAGAGAAAAAAGGTATTAAGTGGACGGTTGATATGAGGTTTTGATATCAAAACACACCGGCAGAAAAAAATTAGGTTAGGCGAGTTCTCCTCTGATGATGATGGAGAAGAGGATGGATGTAAAGACGATCGATAAGCCAACTCTTCAAGGGCACGGTTGCATCTTATATATATAGACAGTTTCTATCAGCTCTGACAAGGGTATGATGAAAGAAAACATCACCTCCCCCCCGCTTGATTGATATATTTAGAATGGAGTTTCACAGCCCAGAATAAGTGATAACGAAGGCAAAGTGGGAAGTTCCGCACTAGTCATGGATGTGTGTCCGCGATGCTTCCTGGCCTTGTGATCCGCCTGCATAGCCACCCCTGGGGCCTCGGGAAGGCTGAAAAAAAAAAGGAAGAAAGAAAGAAAAGGTTCCCACGCCCGAGGCAGTCCAATGAACAAACATTTAGACTGGAGGGTTCGCTTGCATGCAAATATGGCCATATGAATGCGCGTAAAAAGTAGAAAATACAGATGTAGCATGGCCGCGGAGTCAATCAGTACAGGTGGGCTAGGCTACCATGATATGTCGCCGAGCGTCCAGATGCATTACATAGTAGGCCGGCAGTGAGGCTGTTCGACAAGAATGACGGAATTCCTGCGACCTGGAGAACCGCTCGACTCTGAAGAGCGAACGCATTCGAAGCGCAGTACACTTCTCGGGCGAGCTTGGCATGGAACCCCACCCTCTCGAGCATAGGTGGATATCTCGTATTGGAATGCTGGCAGACAGAAAGGCGGCTCGAGAGGCAGAACGAGGTGAGGATCCCCGTGGCAGGTGGGGGATCGAGCAAGCTTTGAATGCGATTATGTTTGAGGAGATAAAGGAGACTTTTGTCGAAGGCTGATGAGAATCTGAAAACTGAAACTGATAAAGAAACTGTATGCAGAGTCTTACCGCGCTCCCTGCCTCTGCCCTCTTCCTGTCCCCTGTAACTACAGAAGCTATAAGCCGCTAGAGAATCAGAAGATAACGGATGACAATTGCATTATTCTATCAACTCGTCTACGTACAATGGGCAAAGGCTGACAAAATACGGCGCCCAGTCTCGGGCTCGATGTGAAAAGGCTCCATGCCGGCAAAAGCCATTAGAGTTGAATATACAAAGCGGTTGCCGAGATCTGAGCCGAACGCGGATTCTCCACCCGGGCCAAGCTCACGTGGTTGCTCCATTGCCAACATTTCGCTGAGTTCGATATCATCGTCCTCGACGCGGTTGACACCAACCATGACCAACGAGGGCATGGTGGAAGGATGGCAAACGGCGTGAGTGAGCGTACTTATTGAGTCGTTGGGGTCGTTGAATAATGGCTGCTTCGCCCCGTCCATCAACCATTAACATTAACGATTTCTGCTCAGCTTGCCGGAGCACGGGAGTGTCCACTCTCGGTTGAGCGTTTAGCCGCTGTCGACAGCCAGGTGGGAAAAACAGTTGGACCCGATCTGCAAAGCTGGATGTGTCGAACTGTTTTTTCAGCGGACCATATCTGACCTTTTTTTTTTTCCTGACTGGTTTGTGCATTATTATCTGCTTCCAGGCTGCCACCTAAACTTCATATCACCGGCGTGAGAGACGCTTTTTTCCCTTTGACTGCAAGTTGTTACACATAGCCGCAGCTATCATGTCAGGGACAGCTCAGAAAGGCCTACGGCAAATTCTCCAAAAGTCTCCGTCCGATGTCGTCATCCTCTCTTCACTGCGAACAGCAGTCACCCGGGCTAACAAAGGCGGATTCAAAGATGCCTACCCCGAAGAACTGATATCTCATGTTCTGCGCGCGACACTCGCGGCGAACCCGCAGCTGGACCCGACCTTGATCGGTGATGTGGCCATTGGAAGCGTTCTACAAGAGTTGGGTGGCACGAAGGCCGCGCGAATGGCTCAGATTCATGCCGGTTTCCCACCTACAGTACCTTTCCATACCGTCAGCAGGCAGTGCAGCTCTGGGTTGGCAGCTATCACCGCCGTTTCACATTCAATCTCCGTGGGTGCGATATCCGTTGGAATTGGCGGGGGCATGGAATCCATGACGCGCAATTATGGTTCGCGGGCCCTTCCTACGGTTCTGTGGCCGGAACTGCGCGACTCGCCCTCCAAGGATGCGAGAGACTGCATCATGCCGATGGGCATCACATCTGAGAATGTTGCGGAGCGGTACGGTATCACGCGCAAGGATCAAGACTTGTTTTCTGCAGAGTCCCATAAAAAAGCTGCGGCGGCACAGGAGAAGGGACTGTTCGATGCCGAAATTATACCCATTACAACTAAAACGTTCCCTGAGGGTCAGCCTGAGGGGCCAGCGACGGAAATTACGGTCACTAAAGATGACGGCGTCAGGGCGTCGATCTCCCTTGAGAAACTAGCTACTCTTAAACCAGCGTTCTCGGCAGCAGGATCAAGCACCGCTGGAAATAGTTCTCAGGTCAGTGATGGTGCGGCTGCCACGTTGCTCATGCGACGCTCCACAGCAACAGAACTTGGCCTCACGTCCGGCATCATCGGAAAATGGGTATCCACGCAAGTAGCCGGTTGCGCTCCTGATGAGATGGGTATTGGCCCTTCCGTTGCTATTCCCAAGGTTCTATCACACACCGGCCTGTCGATCTCCGATGTTGGAATCTGGGAAATCAACGAGGCGTTCGCAAGCCAAGCTATCTACTGTATTCGAAAACTGGGAATTGATGAAAGCAAGGTTAACCCCAAGGGTGGGGCAATTGCCTTGGGACACCCGTTGGGGGCAACTGGTGCGAGGCAGCTTGCAACTCTGCTCCCGGAGATGGAGAGGCAGGGAGAGCGGGTTGGAGTTGTGAGCATGTGTATTGGAACGGGAATGGGAATGGCAAGTGTGTTTGTCCGGGAATAGAGTTTTGACGATATTGGAATATTGGAATATGCTTGTCATGTTTGTGTCTATTTTGGGTTATGCTATTTCAATGCTCTCCTGTATTTGTCGACTCGAGGTGGACTTGCATCTGGGGCCCCTTTTTGAGAGATACCAGAATCGAATTGGAATCCGTTCCTTGTGTGTTAGATATGGATGGATTGTGCTGCAAAGAGTTGGTTTGGCATAAAGGTGTCAAACGACACACCTCACTTATATATTTTCCAATCACCGTATTGAAATGACTATTTTACTACTTATTTTTTCAGATTATTCCTCATCCCTTCGGTGATAATAATCACGTGACCAATAACCTACCACCTTGGAAGTTTCTCTTCCTTTTGCTAGCGAAAAGAGGATGGAAAGAAAAAAAAAATTCGTTTCAACGACGAAGTCAACGAAACGCCAACAATGTCGCTGCCAGCACGTCTGCTAGCTCCATTGGAAACCGCACCCGCTCGAATATCTAGTGCATTATACGTTTGCTCGACCTGTAGACGTCAATGCCTTCCCCAGGCTCTCCGATCCGTCAACCAATTCCAATTCCGCCAGTACCACCCATCCAACAGCAGCCAAAACAACGATAACGGCGACTTGCCCGTGACCGAGAAGCTGCGCAGGAAGATATGGGGAACGGACAAGCCTCCGGGAGTGAAGGATCCATACGGAAGTGAAAGCCAGCTCGACCATGTCGAACCTCCAGTGGAATTGTCGCAGGCGGACCCTCTCCTCGAATCTGAAATGGGAGAGGAGGACCAAGGAATGCGCGTTGCTACTGCGGAAGAGAAAGCCCATGGGGAATATAAGAGTGCGGATACCTGGGAAGGTTTAAGACAGGTCGGTGCGGAGCAATGGTGGGAGAATCCTCCTAAAGCTGAGGATTATTTCGAACCGTACGTTTTACCTTTTTTGAGCGGTTTCCTTTTCCTTTTCCTTGTTTCTTTTCCGGTTTCCTAATCTTATGGCTGCGTTCAATAATATACATGGAACCCTACATTTTCCAAATTCTTCTGAATATCCCTTCCACAAGCATGAGCCCGATAATAGTCTAACCGCCCGCCCGTGCAGATTTATGGCTCTGGAGAAAGCTACGTCCCGCACCAAATTTTACCAAATCCTCCATCAAGCCATGGTCGAATTGCTCATATTGAAAGACATGAAGAAGCCTCTTGCGGACGGCTGCAACATCCTCGGCTACGAAGAAGCTATCCTCTCCATTATTAACCAGGCGGAGGTGAAGATGAACGATTCAACTACCCCATCCCTGACTTTCCACGGCGAGGAAGCGAAGACTGCTATCTACGAATGGTTTGCTCAACTTTATGAACCGATAGAAGGTAGCGCCGAAGCAGAAGCCGAAAGAACCACCGTTGTTGCAGAATCTAGTGAGACACAAGATATTACGCCCGAGGAGGAAGCACAGCTTGCTGCCGCCGAACAGGACGAGGTGGATACCAATGGGCCAACAACTTATCGCCCAAAGAATCTCGACTTCCTCCGCATCCCTCTTACAGACCCGGAATTTAAATTTGCTGTAAGCTCGCTCATATCCATCCAATTGACTTCATACATTGGGCCTCACATGAAAGATTTTCCTCTCTCCCCTTCTTCTCCATTTTTTCCCTTCCTCGTCCTCTCCACCTTAAACACAGAGGACCTAGCTCTAACAAAACCACACAAAAATAGTACCTCAAACGAGTCAGCCAATTAACCGGCTACCGCATCCCGGATCCCCAACTCGCCAAAATAACCAAGCCATCACGACTCCTCAGCTTCCTCACTCAAGTGTCCAAGCCGAAGCCGAAGAAGCTAGCAGAGCACCTTCTTAAGGACGAACGTCTGACCAGCCTGCCCAATGTTAAGATCATGGATAGGCGATACACGCCGATCGACAAGGAGAAGGAGATTGGGCGGTGGAAGCTTATCGAGGAGGAGTTAACGAGGCGGGGATTGCCAGTTACTGGTCGGGTGCGGACATGAGGAAAGTGAGGATGCAGGTTGGGGAAGCATTTTACAGTGCTGTGCTGTGCTGCGAAGAGGAGGCAGGATGGTGTAACCCCTTTTTCCCCGTGGCGCATGGCACGCGGTTGTAGATTATTTGCTTTTGGATTTTGCTATTCATCCACGTTCGGAACTTTGGGAACTTTGTTTGTGTGTGTTTTTTTTCTGGCCAATTCTTTTGTGATATCATTTTGTATAGATATAGGTATATACATGCTTGCTTTAACCACAGATAGAGTATGGTTCATGACAAGAGTGAAAACGCCATCTTACATCCCAGGAGTGATTTCTCGCCGCATTTAAGATTGTCATTCCGAAGTATATGAAATCGAATAACTAACTAGGCCCCAGGAGTTCCTATTTCGATAAAGTATAGGAAACATCCACAGTTTCCTTCCGACGTAAAACAAAATTCCCAATAACGTCTTCTTATCCATTACATGAGTTCTATCCCTTAAAAACCCCGTCGAAAGTCAACGACAACCTGCAAAGGAAAAAAAGGTCGCAAACATGGCCGTCAGGGAGACGCGGAAGGAGAATATATATATTCTGGCCAGTTCCAACTTTGCAACTGGCAAGAATAACTATTTGACCAGCCCCCAGAAGTTACCTTCAAGTCATCACCAGAAGACTTGCGGCATCTAACATCGACCTCACACACATATAGGACATCTATCCTAACCTGGTCACAGCCATATTCGCATACCCGTGTCGCCAATTCCTTGTAATGCGTGGATCTGATGGATAGAAGCACATAAAAGCCTTATGGGCAAATTGTGGGCTTGCTACAGATTATCAACCAGGGATGGCATGAGTTTCGCAAGCCTTTGCATCCAACATATTGAAGGTAGTTTAGGACAAGGAACTCTCCGAAAACCTCAGCCTAAATATAACGGCAGGTGGGTCACTGGCGAGAACCCTAGAGAAGCTGCTAGTGCAGGGTATAGCATACTTGTGAACAGGGAGGAACCCATGATGAGGCTACCCAACGTTTCAAAAGTCTCATCTTTTCGCCGACGTTGGTATCGAATAGCCTCTGGTCATGAAATCAGAGTCCTTGCCTCGCTCTCTCGTAGAATCGGACGAGAAGAGACTTCGTATTGTTTCGTTGTCACCTATCATTTTCCGTCGTTTATTGCGTTCCCTCTCCTCCTCAAGTACGCGAGCTGTCAGCCGCGCTGTTGCAGCATTCTTAATTCCTGAAGGCGCTGGAGTGGATGTCACACTATCAGGTCTACTGCTGGGTGCAGATTGATGTTTGGAGGTAGCTGTTCCGCTATCGAGAGCAGAAGCCGGTTCAGAACCGGTTGTTGTAGAAGCAGTGGATTCAGCGCTATTCCCGTTTTTCTTTCGTTTCTTGTTGGAGCCAGGAGCCTTCTTAAGCGAGTGTGTCAAGCCCTGGCTATTCAAATCTTGCACACGAGATATCAAGCGCTTCTTTTCAGCGTCCTGCGACGGGAGAATAGGAATAACGTTTTGGAGAAGGTACCCCTCGTTACACTATAACATTTCATAGGTCAGTGATCAAGAACCACACAACATAGCATGAAAATGAGAGATGACAGATATACCAACCTGTAAGCATTTGTCGGATTTCATTTCTCGGATCGCTTCTTCTGAGAACGCATGGCCACAGGGAACTAGGTAGACTGACTTCACGTTTGGACCCAGCTCTTTACGAGTGATAGGACAGACCCTGCGCTTTTTACCGTCCCCACCATCATCGATCTCGAACTTTACTTCCACAATATCGCGAAGCCCTTTGACTCTTCCTTTTAATATCTCTTCGCAGTCGGCTTTCGAGCTAATATCTTCCGTGTCATCTGCCGGCAGGAGAAACTTTAGTATCGCGTCCTTGTTATAGAGAGTTCCGCTGGAATCAGATACAATAGGCGCAAGCAGCTGCTTATGCGAGAGAGGGCAAGTCGACCAGTAATGCTCTAAGTGTTCGCGTAGGGTTTCTTTAAGCTCGGTAGTCGTGGGATTACGTGTTGCGGACTTCACAAGTTCGCATCGCCTTGGAATACTATATGTGAGTTAGAATACGCCGTTCCGTCACAACCCACGGATAGACTTACCTTCCGCCATCATTACCCATGTTTTTAGTTTGGTATTATTCTGTATTAGCAACCAAGCAGTGGCAATTTCAATGGAATGTTGAGTTGGTGATGACGGCAAAAGAGGTTGATTGATAGTTAGACCGGTTAATAGTTTTTAAGTTCCGAGATATTGGTTACTCAGCGGCCAAGACTGCGTGTGATAGGCCAACGTTGATCCAGCTCCCAAACCCAAGGTTAGAGAATGAGAAAGTGGTAAAGCGAGCAGGCAGGCTTCACAGTAGACCCAATGCCTCCATCATGAAACATTCCAGCAGGATTTTCGTTGCTTTGGGTGCAACCATATGTTCTTCCATTGGTGCGGTGGGAAGTGATGCCTCTGTGCGTCCTCGGGGTGTAGGTCCGGAGTGTAAGTGTATACAAAAATGCTGATTTTAAAGCCCATTTCTCTTGACAAACTGCTTCCTTGGTTCTTCGCAATGGTCTATTTTGCAAGTAGCTAGCTGACATTAAATCAATATCATCCTGGACATTAGTTAGTAAATATTACAAAGACTCTTCCACTTTCACCTGCATTTCTAATCCCTCCATTCAAATTCCCTTCTCCGCAGTGAACGATGATTACTGCGACTGTCCTGATGGCAGCGACGAACCGGGCACCTCGGCATGCGCCTATGTATCGCAGTTTTCTCCTTCTGACTTTAAGGATGATAAGGTTAACCGTACTCCGGTTCTCCCCGGATTCTACTGTGTTAATAAAGGTCATAGACCATCAGTCATATCGTTCCAGCGAGTCAATGATGGCGTTTGCGACTATGAGATGTGCTGCGACGGTAGCGATGAATGGGCCCGGGTTGGTGGCTTAAAATGTGAGAATAGGTGCAAGGAGATTGGAAAAGAATGGCGAAAGAATGAAGAAAAGAGGCATAAATCCCTGACCGCGGCGGTGAAGAAGAGGGCAGAGCTTGTGAAAGCTGCGGCTAAACTACGAAAGGAGGTGGAAGACCGCATCTCGGATCTTGAAGTGGAAGTTGTGGCCTCAGAGTTGAAGGTGCAGAACCTAGAACAAGCTCTCGAAACAGTCCGGGCCAACGAAAGGGGCAAAGTGGTGAAGGGCCAAAATAAGGGCAAAGTTAATGTTCTTGCTGGACTAGCCAAGGAGAGGGTCGAAGAGTTGCGAGGGGCATTGGTGCAGGTGCGCCGGGAAAGGGATGAGAATTTGGTGAGAGTTAGTCAACTCGAGGCCATACTATCAAAATTCAAGGAGGAATACAACCCAAATTTCAACGACGAAGGCGTAAAGCGTGCTGTCCGGGCCTGGGAAGATTATGCTGCGCGTGGCGATACAGGTAGCGATGGCGATGAAACGCTAAATCGAGATCTGGATGAAATTTGCAAACCGGACGGTGAAAATTCAGGCATTGACTGGGATCATTGGGAAAATGAACAAGATGTAGAATCTGAAATCGGTCTTCGTAAGTTTATTTATTTTCTTATCCAAAATTATTTGTTAGCCATATTACTGCTGGAAGATGCTAATACACATTCCACAGTTTACAAAGTCGCCGCCTATCTTCCCGATTCATTGATTAACTACTTCGAAGATAAAGTTCTTCAACTCCGCTCGTTTTTAATATCAAATGGCATCCTTGCGGATAACAGCGGCGACTTAGGCACCACAGAGTCCAGAGCAGTGACGGAAGCTCGGAATGCACTTTCTACTGAAGAATCATCCTTGAATAGAATTCGCTCTGAGTTGGAGGATCAAAAATTAGACCTTCACAAAGACTATGGAAGTGATTCCGTATTTCGCTCGCTGAAGGGCTCATGCATATCTAAGGACTCTGGTGAATATACCTATGAACTCTGTTGGATGGAGAAAACGAAACAAATACCCAAGAAAGGCGGATCCACCACAACAATGGGCACCTTTTCTGCGTTTACTACAATTACTGTCGATGAGCAGGACTCAAATGGGAAGGTCGTCCCTCAAAAAAAGATAGCACTGGAATACACCAACGGACAAACATGCTGGAATGGCCCCGCACGTTCAACCAAGATTGTTTTGGAATGTGGGGAGCAGGATGAGATCTTGAAGGTTACGGAAGACGAAAAATGCGTGTATAGTATGTTTGTGACGACCCCAGCTGCCTGTGAAGAAGTTTCCAAGAACAGCAATGCCGCCCGTGATGATCGCAAAGACGAGCTGTGAGGGAACAAACGAACCGCAGAAAAATTTGATAATATTTGGTTAGTTACACAGGATTGTTGCAAACTAGATGGGCTTACGTGCTTACTTCCACCTTTATTCTTTATTCTTCTTGTTTCTAGCAGACTTGAATTCCTTCACAGTAAGATTATCTATTTCCCTGTGCAGCCTGGTAGTGTCATTTTATGCTGGTTTCTCGTCGCTCTTATCTTTGTTGTGTCATCATTCCATTTACACATGCTTCGCTGCTCCTGACTTGAATGCTCGTGCGGATACCTCATTGAAATGACGGTAGAGAATCCACAACTGATACACAAGCTAGCCCGCCATAATACAATAACATGAAAAAGAGCCATTACCAATTTCAAACCTTCCTCAGAAACAAAAAAAAGAAAAAGAAAAACTCCTATATGCTCAAACCTTCAGAACATTGATCTCTTCTACAATGACTTTAGTAGAAATCTTCCATTTGACTGATGTCTTCTCGCGACTTTAGTCTTGATCGGCAAGATTCGCATTCTGACCTATTCTGACCTACGAAATCATTTTTATATATGGAAAAAATGATATTAAAAGAAAGAAAGAAAGAAAGAAAATTCCCAAAGTTAACAATGCGGGGTCAACTGACCGACCGTCCTGCCGTGTCCCTTTGCTTGGTGAAAGAGGCGTCTCATTCCGCAAAACCCGTGTGCTTGGACCCCCGCACCAGTGGGAAGATGTCCATATCTATTATCCGATGCGAGAACGGAAGAGAACATGACATGTATGACACGGAGGTACGACATAGGGCTGCATCACATTCGAGGAAGGCATTTGTGACCTCATGGTATTCTAAAATCGGCTGATTTGCATCTATGTTTCCTAGTACGGAATGGGGATTAAGGTTGTATTCTGAATAATGGTGGAGATGTCATTGCTTTAATGAAAGTATGTCTTTGAATATTCGCTACATCTCAACACCCAACACAGCCCAGACGCATGCACACCAGCTCACAGGCACACCCCCTTACTTGCTCTTCAGAATTTGCTGGCCCCTTCAGAAAAAAGGGCCGGGCAAGCTCAAGATACACAACAACCAATGTCGAATTGAAAATATAAAAGAAAACAGGACATGCTGGTTCCGAGAGCCTGAGGCAATTGATTCTCTTTCCTCCGTGGTTTGAAATTTTTTTTCTTCCAACTTGCTTGATAACGAATCCAAGTTAGGGTAGACGTGGGGGAAACGTTAGGAAATATAACGCTAGTCTCGTCCTAAGGTATGAGGGATTTGAATGGACGTATCGATCAAGGAGACTTCGGATACGTTAAGAGACCTTCTCAGCGGCGGGGAAAGACGTTATATAAGGCAGGAGAAAAGTGGAAGAGAGAGAATTTAGCTCATCGGGAGCTGCTTAGTGCTGTTGTAAAAGTCAGGTGAGTATACACAAACGTAGATTCTGTTTATATTAACTTACACTGCAGCTGCCGCAGCCGCAGGCGTTGCAGTCACCAGAGCAGCAGTTGCAGTTGCAGGGAGACATTTTTGGATGGGTGGGTTTGAGTGGTGAGTTTGTTTGAAAATTCGGTAAGATATTTAAGTTGCGTTTGGATGTATGGTGGTCAACGAGCTATCCTTGAAAATGGGAGAGAGAATCTCATGAGGAAGAGGGGGACATGAAGCCCTATTTATGTTCTTTCTCCCCCATCACGGACTCTCCCCCGCAGTTCCATGGTTCGTCTTCTGATAGCACGTGTGCGGATCCGACAAGGCGTTGACTGGACAAAGAGGGATTTGGATGCAGATTGTGGAAGGACAAGTCCTTGTCATGCATTTTGTATCAGAAATTCAAGATGTGAGAAACAGAGTTAGCATGGGTAATGTGGAAAAACGGTTGGGTGACCCTTGAACCATGATGCAAGGCTCCCAGCTACCTCCTGCAACCATTGGAGAGGAGGTGGTCGAATTGCGTGTCTCCAGGAAGAGAGGATCAAAACTTAAAACCGAAAAAGCTGATATGTGGAGTTTCAATTTGCCAGCTGCCGCACAAGAGCAAGTTTCATTTCTCATTTCGCACATTTTGTTGAAAGAGCTTTGTACGATTCCCCATGCCACCCCAGCTAGCTTCCAACTCCATTTTTGAGAGATTGTGCACTGTCCTCGACACGGCGACCTACAGAATAAGAGGATGAACCAGACACCAAAACATGTTCATTGGCCTTGACAAGCATCCGCTTGGGTTAGCGCCCTTCGGTTGGACTCTGACGATTCTCCATGTTCAACAGACTTCCGGCATGGTGGCATGGCAATTAGCCATCTCAACCCCCACTGCGTGTTAACAAGGCTGAGCCAGAACAATCAAGCGCGTTTTCCACAAATACAATACTTCACAGGTGGTCCATGTGATTCATGTTTGGGCCTCTATCTCCATATTGCTGATTGGGCTTGCCAAGGAGGTGGATCAGGCCGTCGGAAATTTGTCTTTTGAAAAAAAGAAACAACTGGAAATATTGGTTGAGATGTGAGGGTCTGTTAAGGTAAAACAAAGATAAGCACCTCTCTTTTCTCCCGACCATCCACGGCCGCGTGTGGAAAGCCTAGCTGATACCTGCTAGGTAGAGGATGTTGTTTTGTGTCCAATGATGTATATCAAAAATTTCATTGAGAGAGAGTCTTATGTAATCAGTGTTTCCCTCCTCAACGAGGTCAACACGATTGGGGGTTTGATTGATTCGTCCCCTCTACCAGCATGGCGCTGGTGGTGATTGAGCTCTTTTGCCCAGTGGCCTTACAAACACTGCTTGTTGTTGACCGCAGTGGAAAACTTGAAACTAGAAACAAACGCAACTTGCACGCTCTGAAAAGGCCCACTTGTCTTCGCAATCTGTGGCTGGTAGATTGATGCAAAACTTAATGCAGAGGATTTCCTCTGCATTAATTTTTCCGGGGAATTCTCTATATTTTTGATGATGTGATGGGGGATCTCAATACCCCCGTTCTGTCTATGAGCCTCCCATCGTTCGTTATCCACTCAAACACCCTATTGCATACGTGGCGCATTTGAGTCCACTTCTCTGTTCCGATTCGATTCTCTGGCTGTTGGTAGGTGATTCGTTGTGGAAAATCGCCTACGGCCCTGAAGGCCGTTTGAAAGACTCTCTCATGGCTTGATTGAAGGGAGTTTTCCGAAAATTTGGTGGGCCAGGAAACAGATTGCCATGGCAATGTCCTGTATTGCATTTGCTTGGCTAACAGTGCTGGAATTCGAATGTCAAGAATGGTCGGCGACAAGTACTCCAAAATCATCCATCTCATTATCATATTGGAGACTACTGCCCCTGTTTTGCGAATTATGCATGACAATAAAAACTATCTCGAGGTTCATATTGCATTTAAGTGGAATATGCATCACGTTTCGCTATTCTAACGCCCCTTCAATAACCGTTTCTCCGGCCTCTATGGTAGCATTTTCATCCAAACCCACCGAGAGCTTCTCATAGATCTTCGTGATTTCACTATGCAGCTCCGCCATAGAGTCATTGATAAGCTCCTTAGGGTCACCGACAAGAAGCGTTCGGAAACCTCCAGCCTCCGCGTCCATCTCTACAAGAATGGCGTTGCTTGCTTTGATGTTTCCGTACATTACCGGGAACACAAGTCCAGTTACGATCTCAAATTGCTTCTCAGGCCATACAGAAATTTGGTGTTTGTTTTACGATCAATTGTTAGCATTCGATACACATCCTTTGAAGGGTGCCATGAACTCACCTAGGATTTGCGTTCGAAAATAGGCGGCGCTCATGCTGGATGAAAGTGTGGCTGATTCGAGAGGGGTTCAGCTATGTGGGCCTGGCAGGGAGATATTTTCAATGGTGAGTGCTTTGGATTGAGGACGTTTTCGCAGAAACGACGTTCTTCCACCCTCTTTGTATGCCCAGAAACAGGTCCAGATCCAGTCATTCATTTTCACAATGCAGAGGTTCGTTTTAATTCCAACACTACTGGAGAGAGTCAATCCTTTGCCTCCTCTAGTAAGAGAGGCTCATGGAGACAGGGCATATCCAACGCTAAATGGCGGGCACGGCTCCGTTCCTGAGGCTCTTTATCTGAAAGAGAATCCATTGTCACGAAATTGAGCTTCGAAATACGCGTGAAGCTTGACGGGGGACGTGCATTGCCATCCATCCAATCTAGCCCAGAAATCTCATGTTTTCACGGATCATTTTGCTCGACACAAACTCACCGCTTCCCTAATCTACCGCATAGAGTGGATAATTGAAGGTTTGTGACCGAATTATAGAGTTTGTTTCGGTTCTGTACTCACCCCGGACAGCAATTAACTCGCGGGATTTGTTCTTGACGGAATCACTTCGCAAATATGCTATTATTCGACCGTGCTGGAGCTGGCCCCACAATCAAGTCGCCGATTCACGCTCCCAGCCAACGAACACCTACGCAGCGTAATCAAAGGAATGTAGAGGGATCATGGATGTGATGGGGGAAACAACGTTTTTTATTAAAAGCCTCATCCTACAAGAAGATGCATGAACATGGGAATGAAGTACATTAGTTTCATGGGTAGTACAGCCTGGGACGACACAATGCTCTCGAGATATAACACTTTCGCATGGAAGTACAAATAGGGCTTTCCAAAATAGCGCGGCCGTCCGAACATCAGTTGTTGGTCAAAATCAATGAGACCTTCGTTGACACCCTTGTGGAAGTAGATACTTGATTCAAACGTCTACTAGCGAAAAATGAACGCCTAGAAACGTTGAGAACATAAGAAGCTTGAACAGCTGGTAGAACAAGGATTAAATCTAATACCAGGTATTATTCCATCTTCAGCCTTAAAACGAGTGGACAGTGATCTGAAGGTTCCCTTGATGTTTATAAGAGGCGAAAGTGGGTGAGCAAGGTGAGGGCCTCAGCACCACAAAATTTGCAGGCGGGCAGACTTATAACGCATACAGAATAACAAATAGAAGTTTCAAGTGTCTCTTTCTTTACGGAACTACGGTAAATAGCCTCCCTATAAAAACACCAGCCATATTGTCCGCAGATACTAATCACCCCCTTCCATAGCAGAAAAATAAATGACGATTATTGACGTATACCGTTCACGGAGGCCTGGTAACAGGAAAACGCTACTTCCCACGTCATTTGAGAGTCGAATAATAACAACCTGCTCCCTCGATCAATCGGGGAATCTGGAAATCGAACGAAGGAGGAAGATATGCCTGGCTGGGCATTACAAGGGCATGTTTATTTCTAAGGTTTAATCGTCAGATAAAACGCCCGAGTACGCCCAGTGGAGAGTATCACTTACGCAACTGCATTGCCCAGAGGGACACTGGCAGGAAGAGCCACAAGCGCAGCCACATTCACCTATTTTTCGGCGCAGACATGTCAGTACGGTGTTGAATATATGAGATAATGCAAAAGCTCTACTAGGCAGAGAGCGAGCAAGATGACAAGCGGGGGATTCGCATACCCATGATGAAATTAATGCGGGGTAATTGAGAGAGCTCTGGTTGATATTTGGTATAGTATTAGGTAGATGATCGAATTTCCATAAAGGTTTTCTTGGGGGTCGCTGGAGGAAGAGAACAAAAGGAAAATGCCCCGAAACAAAACTGGAACCAGGGCTTTATTTATATTCGTGTGCACAGAGGGGGAAATAGACTCAGACAACGCGGGGCAAATCCGCTAGTAAACTTTTTTGTTGGCCCATAAAATTAACCTAGTCACATACCTTTGTCCGAAGAAGAACAGTGACTCAATAGCAGAAAGGATCAAACAAAAAACAAGTCACGCCTAATACCATCTCTAGCTCACACACTCCATGGCCTTGCTTGCATAGCGAGTGAGCAGATTATATGTCGGCGCCCGCCAATCAGGGGATTCTGCCTGCCTGAGGCGATGATATGAACTCACATTCTGGATCTTTCGAATTCGGGATAAAATAAGAGGAAATTGTTCCGACTCGTGGAATGCATCGGGACTTGTGTTTTACAGGATTAGTGCATTCCTCTAATGTCCTTCCATGATTATGAGTTGGGCTCCTTCGACGCGTGATTTGTTTTTCTTTTCTGGCTGTCGTTATCTACATCTCCATTGGCCGCTTTTTTTTTGGCGGCAACTTGGAACCCGCAGGCTTACAGGAGTTTTTTTTTTTTTTTTTTTTTCCTTTTTTGAAACTTGGTTCTTCGTGTGAGTGTGGGTGTACGGACATGAGCATATATACAATAATAATTGAGAAGAGTCAACTTACGTGATGAAATCTGTCGCTGTTGGCCCACGTAAGAGCAATAAACTTTATTCTCCAAGCACAATCATAAGAGAACTTTACCTCAAACATGACAATGATGCGTCATACATTGACTTCTAAAAACCTCTTCGATATATCTGGTGATTTTCCGCCTCCGCATCACATCCATCTTCCAGACCCCGCCTACTAAAGTCCCATTTCAAGTATCTCACTGCATACCTCTGGAAGCTAATCCGCCCCAGCTCCCAATGCAGCCCGTGCGCCAGTCCCCCCCTGACACTCATACCCGACCTCATATCACAATGCCGGAAAACCGTAGCGCCGCAAACCCCACAAAAATTTCTATAGACATAGACGCTAGGAGAGGTTTGATATCGTTTCAGAGTTCCCAAGTCATCGTAGAAGTTCGAGCCGTTCAATCTTTTGAAGATAGCTGGCCGTGAAATGTATGCCCAGCTGCGAATCGGGAAGCCAGATGCCCGCCAGCCGGAGTTGCAAACACAAAGGGCGGTAGGACATTTTGTCCCGTTGTTGCACAGCCATCACTTTACGCCATTGGGAGTAGTTGCTACTGCTGCTGTTGAGGGCGAGGTAGAGGAATGGTCGGGAACCAAAAATGTCAGACCAAGAGGACGTGGCGAGGTGGGATGTTGTTGATCCTGGGAGGTTATGAAAAACTTGACGCCTTTGCCCTCGCAACTTGCCACTAAGATTTGGCTGAGGAGGACGTAGGGATTGAGCACTCCTGCGGATCATCGTTTGATATATGGTGTCACATCCGGTTTGCAGCGATTGCTGGAAACAGTGCGGGTAGCTCCTATAGAACATGTGTAGCGTTCTATTCCTCTCCAAAGAACTGCTACGTCTAGCACTAGCAGACCAAAGCTGTTTCTGTCGACCGCGCTGGCTAAACACAGATGCGTTATGGACTCCGTCAGAGATTCGCTGTTTTCTATATTTCCTCTCGCTGCTATGAATTTTTGCTCGTACCCTCCAGTTTCCTTGAGCTAGAGAAGAAATGTGCACTACACGTTCCACAGAACCAGCAGCTCGAAGCCATAGGCCGAGCGTATTCGATAAGACAAGCCCGTTGATATCAGGCGATGATTGCGTGCTTTGTTTCAAAGGGATATAGGAGGATGTGCATAGTAACCCAGTTGTCCGACGACAGGCGTCACAGAGGAAGAGTGGAAGCAGGGATGGACTGTGCATCGCTGAATCTCATAACCAGCCCAGTGTCACGGTTCGGGAGGCGCCATCGCACGGACACGAAATCCGTGCTGCCATTTTTCCTTGATTCGGCACGCCGAGTAGAAGGATGATGTACCGCAATGCTGCATTCATTCTGGAAAGGAGTTTGCTCCCCTTGAAGATATACGTCATTGGCGGGATGACCGTGATAGGTTTCTCTAAAAAAAAAATATGACAAATAAGGAGAAATTTCCGTTACATCCCTTCTCCGTGAGTGCAAGTGCGCTGCTAGGATAGACAACACACTTGATTTGCCGTTGCGAAACTACTTCATTGAAAAGAAGTCTATATCAAGTGTTAGGTTGCGCTTAGAGCGCCTTTTCCCCCTGGCCCCCTGCCCAGCGCTCGCGACTAGCTGAGTGGCCTTTCAACCTCATGGACATGATTTCAAAAAAGCAAACAGCCAATAAAGCCAATTCGCCCAAGGCTATATTTCCTCCTAATGGAGGGATTGAGATATACTGCTACTGCTAGGCGTGTGCAAGGTATCCCTGAGCTAATCCTCACAGGGCGCGCTTCGTTTTGAACTTCCCTGAGTTCTAATTATTAACCCCTTGGATAAATATTATTGCTAGCTAGTGGGATGGAGGAATGTCTTCTGTGTCTCTCTTGAAAGTGGCGCCAAAATACGCTTAAGGATCCCAAAAGGCGGCCCATACACGGTTAACCAACCCTAGTATTGAACAACATCATCACGTTGCAAGAGCTTCCATTGCGCGTTGTATCCGATACTCGGTAGTGGAAATGACAGCGATTTTAATACAGAGTTCCCAGAATAGATTTAGAACTCAAAGGAGCAATTAAATAGGTGGAACAGATTCCCATGGTATCGATTCTGTTCCCCTCCTAACAACATTTCTCGGAGATATTACACCTTCCAGAATGCCTGGCTTACAGTTTGCTAACAACATTTGCGACAAGTTCCTGGGTAGGGCGGTGTTCGACCTCTCGTCGAAACAGCAGAAACTATGTTGAAATCTGACAAGAAAGCAAGTCCAAAATGCACTGCAATCCAAATCCTCGAATTTATGGTGTCTTCGCAACAAACAAACTAATAACCGACTGATACATTTACTCAGGTTTGTCTCCGCTGAACATCTTAGCAAAAAATTGTTCAGAGCTCATTAATGGCTTGGGATCTCCTGCAGCAACCACGTCTTGAACTGATTTTTTAAGGGCCTTCGCCTGCTCAACATCAAACTCCATATTCGCGAAATATCGACCACCAGCCCATTGTGTAAATACATACATGTCCCTAATACTTTCGAGTGCCCTAATGCCGCCCATGGTAGGGAATTGTTCGGTTTCTATGGGAACGTAGCGGGATTTTTTGCCCGTAACTAAGCAAACCCGAAATCAGGAGGTTCTGATTAGCATCTATGTACCACATGATTTCATTATCACGGACAGAACCATACCTTTGGTGAAAGACTCAGTGATCTCGGGAAAGGTGGCTAAGTGACTAATTCCTTGGATGGTTTTTCCGCCCCAGGTTTCTGGGTCCAGCAGAACACCGTGGACAAGATCTCCGAAGTCTTCCTCGATTGAAATAAATGGAACCAAGCCCGGGCCACCAACCAAAGGCTGCGAGAGAGTGACATAACTTTCAGAGTCCGTCTCAAGGGCGAATCCGCCGAACACCTCTGCAATGAACGGGGACATAAAGTTTTCGAAGTACCAGCCCGCGCACACAGCTGTTACACTTTTGATATTGGGGCTATTTCGAGCAAGCTGTTCGATTTTATTTTTGCCTATACGGATGGTTAATAAGTGACAATATCGAACAAAATTGGAACACTGAAAATTGACACTAACAGTCCATCATATCCAATTTGACAGCCCCTTTAGTGATTTCATAGATATGGCCTGCGGAGCTGTACACGAAATGTTCCACGCCAACCTCATTTGCAGCATCGACAATGACGCGACCAAGGTCCAATTCCGTAGGACCGTTTGGATCATCAAAAGCCTAGTGATTTAATTGTTACCATACCCTCAATTTGAATGGACCATTGGATTCCGCGCAGCTCTCACCGAATCGTCGGAATTCGTATTAGCGAATATTGCCCAGCTATCTTTGAATGCTTTCACTAACTCCTCCTTCTTAAATCCATCTGCGCCAACAACCTCAACGCCAGCCCTAACCAATTCCTTGGCCTTAGGGGAGGTCGGGTTACGAGTGATTCCTCGGACACGGAATGCCGCACTATTGCGAAGAAGCGATCGGACAACAGATCCGCCTTGGTTGCCTATGGAAAACAAGATTAGAATTGTCCGGACCTCGGTTCGAAAAAAGAGAGCGAAAGAGGGTAAAAGTTCAAAGTCTACCTGTAGCACCAAAAACAGTGACAAGTTTTGGGGACGCCATTTGATTTCAGAAGATGTCAATATGTGGACGCAATTATATGGTTATCTTTTTTCAGTGCCGGAGAGCTGGTTCAATGTGTTGAAGGAGATTGAGTGCTGGTTATAGCACCACAGTCCGCATCCACTTTCCCTTCCCCACTATCGAGGTAGTGCTTCCTTAAAATTGTTCTGCCTGAAAGAAACGTCATGTTGCGGACTTGAGTGTCCTAAGAAATAGCTTTCGGAACTCTCTCAAGGGATTGAGTTTAGTGGGTGTAAGTGGGGATATAGAGCTCGTATTTGTTTCTATGTATCCCCTACATCACAGCCTCAGCAACACATAGATGAAGAATTCACAGGAAAACGACGTCATGCTCCTGAGGAATAACACCCTATTCATAATCTAGAAAACTTTGAAAGTAACGAAAATGCTTCTCAAGCAGTGCTCTCTCTGACGACGGAAACTTCCCATTTTCGGCAATCTTCCGGAATTTTGGGACGACATCTGTCCCGCAAACAGAGAAATTGAGTCCTACTAGTCTTCCTTGTGCTGTTTTTGAGAAATATGAGATAATTTCTCGCCTGACGACAATGCAATAATCGGAAAAGGTGACCTGTTAGCAGTCTCCAACTTCAAGAATTGGTGCCAATCGCAGCGGGTTGGAATGATATAGACTCTACATCAATTTCCATATCGAACGATCCACAAAATCGACATCATTCCTTCGGCAACTGCTAAGCGAGTTAGCCCAGAACTAACCTCAGAGATCCTTTTTTGATGCACGGAAAATGATAAAAGACTGTTGCCTGCCAAATTTCTCGTAATATTGGCAGCCCTTAGGCCTTAGTTCGTCGTATAGATAGTTAGTATCAAAGCGTGAACTTTCATGCATGGATTCCGCCCATTTTCTATCAACCTTGATGATATTCGCCAGAGAAAACGGAGAGCCTCAAATGCAACTTCGATATATACAATTTTCGTTTGTGAGCCCAAAACTTGAAACGGTCATCATATTCGACAATCGTATAGCTTTCAACAATGCTTGGAGCCCCGCACAACATGCCTCGGCGTCCAGAAATCAGGATACGGCTCAAACTAAGCCCTCGCGTAACTCCCCTCAGTCTTGTCAACAACTGAATTTCTTTCTTCCTTCCTGTTTGATTGGTTGGTTGGTTGCTGCTTCGATGAAATAGCACAACACTTGATCATCCTTGTGCCACGCTGTCAGCTGGGGAAAAATGGAAGAAATAGGCTCACACACAATCACCGATTTAAGAAAAATTAATAGACGTACCCCTATCAGGCCATCCCTCCTTGAATTGCTGACCACATATACTATGCCGCTTGTGCCCTTTGACCCACTAGATAGTTACAATGTGCCAACCTTCCACCATCAATTTTGAAATAAAAATATAATATATATATTTTATTTTTTAGCTAACATTTTGTAAAATTTAATAACTTGTTATAACTATATTTATTGTATTATTTCATTTCAAAATTTAGTATATTATACCATATGAATTCCTAAAAAATCTTTTATGGATAACTAACGGGGTAACTATGTAGTTAGTTACTTTTATCTAAATAAATTTCTTCACCGCCTTCTCACGAAACTGCCACCTCACTCAAACCAAAATCCTCGACAACTCCAACTTCCTCCGACCATCGACACACTCTGTAGTTGCGCATTGCAAAGGAACTTGGGGTACTGCCGACTACGAGGAAACCCCCACCATGCCTCCACAGTTCGAGTTTCGCGGGAACAGGCAAGGAGGAAGACCCCGTGAACAGCCTGAATTCACCTTTCGATCTCGGTTCCCCAAGACTTCCGCGAGACCATTATTATTGATGTCACCAAGTGAAACGACACCTGAATTATTATGTTACCCGCAAAACGAAGATCAAAAAAGAAGAAAGTTTATGTCTCTAGAAGAGTTAACCGATAGCGATGAAGCGGAGATGGAGGTTTCCTCTACAGATGAAGCGGCCAAACCACCGCGAAAAAAGCAAGCTCTCGAGTCTAACACCGGGCTCGCTGCAAACGCCCCCAAATGGTCGAACCCAGACCCATACACCGTTTTACCTCCATCAGATGAGAACCTAGGGAAGAGGAAAGACTTTGTAAAGCTGATCCGCAAGGCAAGAATACAATTGTCCCCACAACCCAAACCTGAAGAGCACAACGCCGTCGTTTTGAATGATGATTTTATATCCTTCGGCACGGATGACGTCGAGATGGATGAACCCCCTGGAAAAGCACCTCGAGGCCCAAAAAGCTTGATGAATCGGGATAGTGACCCGGCCCTTGGTAGCAGAAAGCGAACCCGTGACGATGAAATTATCGAGCAGCCCAGGCGCGGTGGGGCACAAGGGAAGTTCTTTAACTCTGATGGATCCATCCTTCTTAAATGGAAACCGTTCGAAGACCAGAACCCAACTCCTTGGATGGATTCCTCGGGTCCTTCCACTCTCCACTTAGGATCTAGGTAAGCTAAATCAACGCCACGGTTAGCATTACAGTGCTAACACCTCGTCTTCGGCAGGTTGCACAACGAGATACTTAGCTTTTACCACTGGGTTAAGCCCAAGTCTTTCGAGCATTCGATTAGGAATGACTTGGTCGAACGGCTTCAGCGCCACTTTGAAAGAAGACATTATGGCTCCCAGCTTTGTGCTTTTGGCTCCTTCGCCTCTGGCCTCTATCTTCCGACCGCAGATATGGATCTTGTCTTGTGCTCAAGACAGTTTGTTCGACAAGATCGCAAAGTCCTTTGTCAACGGCCGCGTGAAATACACTCGTTTGCTGCATATCTGAAAGATCTCGACATCGCTGTCCCCGGATCCGTTGAAACCATTGCTCATGCTAAGGTCCCTATTATAAAATTCGTAGACAGGCTTACAGGCTTGAAAGTGGATTTGTCATTCGACAACTCCACTGGCATAGCAGCGAACAAAACATTTCAGGTTTGGAAATCTCAATTTCCTGCTATGCCTGTTATTGTCTCCGTGGTAAAGCAATTTCTGCTACTACGCGGCCTCAACGAGGTAGCAACTGGTGGTTTGGGTGGATTTTCAATCATTTGTTTAGTCACTAGCCTCCTCCAGCACCTCCCCTACAGTGGCGCAGAGCCTAACCTGGGTGGTGTTCTCATGGACTTCTTCGATTTTTATGGTAATAAATTTGATTCCAGGACGGTTGGCATACAATTTGATCCGCCGGGCTATTTCGATAAGGTATCAACTAATCTCCCTTTTTGAAGTTTATAAAAGCTAACCCCTCCCTCCGCCACAGAAACTCCTTGGCATTTATCAAGCCAACAAGCAGCAGCGACTTGCAATTTTGGACCCAAACAATCCTCATAATGATATCTCAGGAGGAACAAAGGAGATTCCATTGATCTTCAGGGCTTTTGCGGATGCCTATCAAACTCTTAAGCAAGAACTAGTGCACGCAGCTTTTTCACCACGGAAAGACATGAGTAGCTTTCTGGGCTTAGTTGTTGGCGCTAACTATGAATCATACGATCGTCAGCGCGCACATCTTGCCAGCTTATGTGAAAATGATCCTCGATTTACGCACTTCTTCCAGCCTCCTCCTCCCGACAGCCCTCCTCCAGAGGCTCCAGAAGTTCCTCCGCCACCTCCACCGGAAGAACCACCGATTGTGACTGCGAAAGGTAAGGAGCACAATGATGATTCATCACAAGCTCCCAAGCTATCTAAAAAGCAGTCCGCGGCATTAGATCGCGCCAATCGACTTAGGAAGCTTCGACCTACCTTAAAGGTTCCGAAGTTTGTGAACCTCGAAGCTGCTGTGAAAATTGGAGGGTATTCCTCAATTGCAGAAATGGACCGCGACTTATGCCGAAGGGAAAAGGCACTTCTACAGTGAATATATGCAGCCGACTAAGCCGGCTGCCTACAGGCCAATTTGTTCTGTGTCCCGTTGGCATCGAATCAACGTCTCATGCACACTGGACATCTTGTCTTCAGCTTTGACTTCGTTCGATGGCTTCCAATCCTTCTCGGGATTTCCGCGAGCGCCTTGCGCCCATTTATGTAGGCCTTTATGACTTATTAATTCCCTTTTCTCTATCCTTCGCCTTTATTTTCTTTTGCCTTCTCGTCTTTCCAGCTCAAACGGCGCTTCTGTATGATTATACTAGCATGATACCCATAAATATTAACTACAGGCAAATGGTACCGGCAGGACGGAGGATTGACTTGATTTTGCTACTCATCGTGGTTCTGTGCTATAGCGCACCGGACGGATTCCTTTCACTGATACACCCAATTAACATGACATATTTTATTTTGGCTCACGGCCCTGCTCCACATATCGCATTGTGGTAATCATTCCTTACCACGCCATTGTTTCTCCATTCTCCAGCTCGTCTTCGCTAGGTACTAGGTTCCCGCCTAGCTTCAATCAACTGACAATCGAACAGGGCCCGAAAATCCTACCATAACGTTAAGAATAATTAACACATATAGAACAAGCATCCGGTCCTACGGGCATTCTCTTCGTGCATTGTCTTCCGACTTTCCTCTCCCACTCCTCTTCCATTGGAAAATGCCACGGCCTACTTGGATTAATTGGATCGAGTAAACCATTTGACGATTTTCCTCCCAGAAATCAACAAAGTAGATCAAATATCACGATTAACGTCATGAAGCAATCCACCCAAAGAATTCCGGCACAATGCAATAATAAAGGCTAAGTACCCTTTTGTCACGGTCGTCCACTTTCTTCCCCCGCCCCCCCCTCCACCTCCCAGTTCGTTCCCCGGGACTCGCCAACCTCCCTACCTTCCTTCTCACCATATAGCCTGCTAGATGCAGGCATATGGAGAGGAGTGCTTAAAGCATGCAACCGTTCTCTGAAAGGTTACTTGTCCTAGGCTAACTTTTCTCAGCACTCCTGCTTTTTCACAATAGCAATCTTGTCCTTGTAAAGAAGCCGGCTACGCTTTTGTATTGCTGTTTTGTCTTGAGATCTTACATTGTTATTTCTATTCTTATTATTCTTGTTCCTATTATCTTTTTCTAACGAGTTGATCAGAGGACATAAGAATGAATGGTCATGGATAGTAAATAGTACACTGAGGGCCAAAAAAAAAACAAAAACAAAAAACAAAAAACAACGAAAATCTGCCCCAAGCCTCGATTTAATCGCCAATTTCTCATCCCATATCCCGAGTTTTTTGAATTCTCCTCTGAACTGTTGAAGAATTCACAGGACCAGACATCACTAACTGCTATGGTGCCTCAGGATGTAGTTGCTGTCGTCGCTGACAGGACCCCCTTTTTTTTCGCCCCAACCCATTTACTTGTTGACACAGATATTTCTCTATTGTTTTTTTAAATGAAAAAAAAAAAAAAAAACATTAGCTCGAGACCTCGCTATTTCGTTCTCCTCTTTCATTTCATCACAATTCCTCTTATGCCCTGTGGTAACCGTTCCCGAATCTCTATTCCACCCTTCCGTGGGGCGAGACGGGGGAGAAATGAAGGATAATGATACTATTATTAACTCACCACAGCATCACAGAAGCATCCATCAGCACAATCCTTCCCACTTCCGCACTGCGTCTCCTTGCTTTGGCAACGGTTATCGAGCGCCATCTATTTCACCTTTAGCACCAAGATCACAGTATCTCTCGCCCGCCCCGAATATTTCACGCAGGCGGGATATCGAAAGAGCCACAATTCAGTACTGTTGAAAACGCACCGCATTATCCCGTCTAGCTGGGCTCATTTCTTCACCTATGATCGGACTCGCTGTCACAATGCCCGCGAAGAGGACAGTAAACACCCAGGTAAGCTTCATATTCGCGTGTCTTCCGATTCTGGTAGCCGGCAGGGTGGTTGGAATTGGGCGATGAGATTCAACTGTGGTAGCTTAATCAGACGGGCTGGAAAAGAATACGTGTGGTAAAACCGAGAAGGTGGGAAGAAATCATACCTATGATAGTGTCAAAAGAGTAGAGATAGACTAAGCACAGCTAATTCTCAGCAACGTGGACTCTGCTTAGGGCATCGAAGGCATATAAATAAGAGGATTTGGAGGGCAGGGGGGGTACTCACCACAGGAATATATGACTTTCATGCACTTCTGAACATGCCTCTTCTCTCAGCTCGCCTCTCGAAAGACGAAGGCAAAGAAAAAATTCAAAATTACAAAATGCAAATCGCCAAACGGCCACCACGCGCCGGGCGAAGATCTGCACCGAGTGCGAACGTTTCTGTACTCCTAAACGTCATGCTCGTGCTTGCGATGTGCGGCGTCAGAAATAAGTACTGTTATTGAACCCATTGACCGCTGGTTTTCTATTCATTGTTCCATTCAATTACCCGGAGAGTGTTGGTCTTTCAATTACTCCGTACGCAGTATGTATATGCGCGGGGATGTTGCAAATCACAGCTACATCCTGTTTTCCTGGATGGAAGACGAGCTTTTTCGAGGGCCGAGCTCAAGCTAGTATGTTGAGATCAGCGGGGCTAGCTCACTCACAAGCTAAAACGTTAGCTTGTTGGAACTATTCAGGAGAGGCTTCGACAAAGTTTTAGGGGGCAGCCAACCAGTTGGGCAACTAATTTAGCATGCAGTCCTCCTTTCGTTTTTACGCTGCAGGCAAATCCTGCATCAATCTTGGAACCCTTGGAACTCGCCTGCTTGAAATTTGCTTCGACAGGCGGCACAGAGAACTGCCTCTCGCATTTCGATCGGGGATTTTATCAGACCTGTCACACAACATTAAAGAACTATGTAAATCTGAAACAAATGTGATCGCTGCATGGCCCGAGGGGCGGGGAGGGAGCCTCGTTACACACAGCCAAGAACCACCAATTTTCATATAAAAATATCGAATAACTACATTGCATGACATATGATAATATAATCCGCACATCCTCGGTGGAACACTGCGATCTGTGATTAGAGACCCATACTGTCGCGTCGTTGTGTTGTCCTCAGGTCTTCAGCTTTTCCTTGCCCTTCTTGCCTGCCGACCTCAAGAGGCCCATTTCCTGATCCATCCCAAGGGTCCTCTTCGCTCTTCAATTTCAGCCCACATGTTCGAGACTAGCGACTTGATTTAAAGTCTTTGGATAGTCTTTTGGGGTTAATTTAATATCAAACACTGCTTCATTTCGAGGGACGGCTCAACCGTTCCTCCAGGGTGCGATCGATTCTTTCCTTCAACGTTTCTCCATCGTGACCCACGACAGCCACTGTAAGAGCGTCCACTGCTTCCGGTTCAAAATATGATTGCCCTAGGTAGGTGACGTCGACGACGCCGTCTAGGCGCTCTTGTGAATGTAAGTTTGGAGAGATAAAGCTTCCAGTTGGTGAATAATCCGTGGTAGAGGATACTAATAGTAATAGAAAGCCGATGGGGAGCGCTGACTGTTAAAGAGAATTAACTAGTAGGAGCAGGAGAAGGAACATAGGTAAGAAGATGAGGATTCCTCGCTTGGGCCAGTGCATTGCTTAGCAAGTTAGTGAGCAAGATCACTCAAGTTCTCCAACATCCTATAGCTAGGATATAAGAAGATTAAATATGAATATAACTGAAATTAAATTGAAACAGTAAGTGATTATCAAGATCTATAGTGATCAGTAGAATCTAATATTTAGACTTGAGTACAGAAGATTTGAGACTCAAGCATAATGTGAATAGAATCAACGGGTTGCCCTTCCCGCGTTCCATGGTGGTCTTCCCGAGAAAAAAAGCAAAATAGATCAAAATATGTCAAAATAGGTCAAAGACAGGACAAAGTGGACTCTGGCATATCGCACTCTTGTTCCTCCGTTCCCTTCAGGGCGAGGAGGGTCAGTTGAGGTTTTCCCTCGTTGCTTGGCCTTTTGCCTCACACGCTCCCTAATTCAAGCCCATTTTTACTCAATGCAGCAGCAGCAGCTTAAGATTTACCCCTCCTTCTATTATATTACAAGTATTCTCTACCCAGACACTATAGCCTGACAGCCTTTCGTCTCTTATTCATTGCTCCTGTTGTCTGGCAGATACTAGTAGTACCAATTAACTGAGGGGCATGGGACGACCTTCTGTGCCGCTCTCAGCGGATTTACCGCCCCTCATTTTCGGAACCGCGACCTTTAACTCACAGTACAATGCTGACCCATATGCCCTCGCTACGACTGCGATAGTCCATCGCGCATTGTCTGCCGGTATCAGGGCTTTTGACACATCACCTTACTACGGGCCAGCGGAGGAATTGCTGGGTCGTGCTCTATCCAGCTACTTCGTGCGTTCCAATTTTCCGCGATACACCTACCGTCTGCTCACCAAGGTTGGTCGCATCGCTGCACAGTCCTTCAACTACTCTCCGGCATGGATACGAAAAAGTATAAAACGCAGCTTATCCCGGCTTGACACATCCTACCTAGACGTCGTATACTGTCATGATGTCGAGTTTGTGTCTCCGGCGGAGGTTTTAGGCGCGGTTGTGGAGTTGCGCAGAATACGGGATGCGGAGGGGTCAATCCGTTATATCGGGATATCAGGGTACCCTGTGGACGTTTTGTGTTCGCTGGCAGAGATGGTTTTGGAAGAGACTGGTGAACCGCTGGATGCCGTGATGTCGTATGCTAATTTTACATTGCAAAACACAAAACTTGCTGTGGAAGGCCTATCGCGCCTTGTTGCTGCGGGAGTCGACGTGGTTCCCAATGCCTCCCCACTAGGAATGGGCCTGCTGAGGCGCAAAGGTGTCCCAATTGGGAGTATGGGTGATTTCCATCCTGCGCCTGATGGACTACGAAATGCTATACTTGCGGCAAGTGAGTGGGTAGCGCACCAGGGCGAAAAAATTGAAGTTGTCGCTATACGGTATGCTCTCGAGTCATGGTTACGTGAGGGCTCACCTGTTGGTGTCCTGGGGCCACCGCTTGCGCGTTTCCCGGATGCAGATCCGGTATTCACCTCTACTATTACACATGGTGTCGGACGGAGACTAGGGGTCAGCGTCATGGGTGTGAGCAATATTGATGAGCTGGATGAAACTCTTCGTGTGTGGCGGAGTATTATCGATGGCCTGGAGGACAAAGGAGACAAGGACGATGCTCCCCCCTCCGAGGAGGTGGAATATTTCTCCGAAGGAACAATGGTGGCAACTGGTGCCTCTAGTCCTTCATCATCCACCGCCGCGTCTAAGACTCCCAACGCTCTTACCCCATCCGGTGACATCGCCGACCGCAAGTGGTCCCGAGACAGACGCCAGCGCATATTAAAGCTGGCCGAAGGGATTCGCGAAATCCTCGGGCCGGACTGGGTGAATTATACCTGGGAAAGTCCCGGGAAAGGGTTTGTAAATACCCCCCCTGACAACCACGGCGACATGGATGAGCCGGCTGCATGACCAGTGTTTATGATAGAAGCAGTCGAAAAGGATGTCGATGTTAAGGACATGGAGGCTATATTGCTTACATCTCCATTGGAGCCAGTTGATAAGTGAAAATATGTTTCTGTATCAGCTTGTGTATTTTAGGCCAGTCAATTGATGAATGAATGATAGTTATGCTTGGTTATCTGATTCCCTCATCATTTTTTCATCCCTGTTACGACATCTTCAATTTCAACATGCAAGCGTCATATGCCACATTTTGTTTTGTTCTGTTTTATTTATTTCCATTATTCTTGTGGTTACTTTTTATTTTTTTAATTTATTTTTTCACCCGGCCAGGAGCAGCAAATTGTTTATAGATATAGTGCATACGCCTCCATCACATACAAAATAACCATGCCATCAAGATCAATATAAGCATCCTCATTCGCTATATTCAACAGATATCAAGTGACCATACATGTTGTAACTATCGCGAGAACAAAATCTTCTTGCCTGTATCTCACTACTTAATAACGTGAGTTACTTTTTCATGAAGGCCTGGACCGAAGAGGCATGCAAGGTGGAGTTGCATTTGGCAACCAAAATTCGCATTTACCGATGCCGCCAACTTCATGTCACAAAATAGTCTAACATCTCGGCAGTAGGGTTCGAGAAGGGATTTAAGTTTTATTCTAGGCCAGAAGCCACCAACTCTTACATACGGTACATGGCTCGGGAAGCAATATAAGTTGCCTCGTAAATCCCCCATGTTCCCCCATTTCCGATTCTAGACGAGCAACCCAACTGCAGCCAAAAGACTTTGACTGCCTAATTTACGAGCTAGTAGATGGAGAGCCCACGCATTGCTTTGGCAAATCCATCGCGTTCATCCTTACATCCCTCACACAGGCGATTATTGTGCGGGCCTTTACTGGCCCCGAAGTAAACCGCCGTTTCTGTTTCGAACCCGTGCCACTTCTTCAGGCGGTATGCAACACACTCCGTAAATGAATTGTCGAAGAACTGGGGCGGCTAAGACTGTTGCAGCTCTTGTAGCACTGATGATAGACGTGTGCGTTGTGGATGTGGTTGGTGAGAGGAAAAGAGAGTGCTTGTGCAGTCAGCCTTGGCGAATCAGTTCTTTGTTCGGCCTGATAAGATGTGTTGCGAGGTATTCCAGGCTCCCCTTCATCTTCCATGCTAGCCTTACCTACTTAGTTCCCCAGACTTCAACATCACTGCACACCTACATTTGATGTAGACAACATTATGGCTTCTTGATGCCACACATGAAAAAGGCTCCGGGCGAACGCGCCACCAGCGATGTTATTTTACCCATGCAAGACCCCTACATGACCCAGATTACCGATGGAAGGAAGAATTATGAGTTTAGGAAATATTGCCTCAAGCCTAGTGTGAAAAGAATCTGGTTCTATCGGACTGCTCCGCACTCTAGTATCACCCATGTCTGTGAAACTAAGCCCGCTCGAACTCGAAAACCTGGCGATCGTCCTCTGGACGAAGACGGCCTGGGTAATGCTGAATTCAACAGCAAACACAAGGACTGGGATGGCTACGACTTCGCGTACGAGATGGTCACCGTCTACGAACTCAAACAGCCGATAACTCTCAAGGAGATGAAAGACAAACATGGTTTCAAGTCAGCTCCAAGGGGGCTTGTTTATCTGCCCAGGTCAATTAGTACCATTGTTAACTGGAAGCAACAAAAGCTGGTAAGAGATCTAAATCTTAGCTTTTACCTGATCTTTAGCTAACTAAGGCAGTTGATCAACCGAAGGAAGCAATTCTCGGAGGCTTAAGATAGGCTGTGGGAGCTCAGAGGGGTCTGATGCAAGATGTTGCCACAGTCGGAAATGACGCGGCCAGTTTATTCCAATCCAGATCACCTTTACGTAGACGGCCTGCGGCTTGCAGATTCGTCTGTGTCTCACGTGTAGTTATGTTTGGCTGTTAGCTCTATTTACGCACATTCATTTGTGGACTCCTCTGTCCCTAATATCATCGCCCACAATTTTTCATTGACAAGCAAAAAGGACGAGGCCGCAGTCAGTCTTCGCCGGTTAAGCATCGCCGCACATCAAACGGCCACGCTCAAGCTGATCAAAAACACCCCACAATACCGAAATGACCGGAATTCCCGCCCAAACGCCCAAGTAGCCCGCAAAATGTTTTGCAATTACGGGTGTCACGAGGGTCCATAGCCCCCGACAGCTAAGGCCCAGAAGAAAGACATCTTCCACATCCAAAGAAATCGAGAATACGGTGATTGGATCTCGGTGGGGAAGCTGATCTAGGATAGATCTGGATTCAGTTGTGCTTGTCAGATCATGGGAAGATGGCATAGAAACAGGAAGGCAGTCCGGCTCAAATTCCCTTTTCTGAGGAATAATTTTTCCCTGGCTTGAGGAAGACTGTCCTGTGACTGTTCTTCCCATCATGAGATTTTCGTCTTCTGAACTGGTCTCATTATTTATTGCATTGAGCTTGGGAGAATGTTCATGGCAGCCGCATAGTCTCATATTTTCCCAAGAGTGGTGAGAGTGGAAGGATCTCTCTATGGGATTGAATTAAATAATAGAAGGTGCTTGGTATTACTATATAAACAAACTAAGAGGTCTAGTAACAAGACATAGTGCAGAGAAGAGAAGAGAAGAGAGAGAGAAAGAGAAATTGTAAGCGGCGGGTCGAGGATCTCGCTACTTATCTAGGGGAGGTCCTTAGGACTCTACAAGGATAGAGCTATATCAGGTAATACAGTGTTATGTCAAAAGGGATTTGGATAGAAGAATTAGATATCAAAGCAGTAGAACATAGAGGTGAGATTATATATCAGAATGATTCACTGCCGCCTAGAAGGTTGGATCAGCTGCTAGTTCTATACACATAGAATTATAGATGGATCAAATCTGATACAATGCTGATGATGTTATATTATCTTGATTCTGCAATGTCATGTCTTGTCTTTGAGCAATTATCTGTTTCAGTCTAACATTGATTGTCTGCCTTGATTTCGTACTGATATCTTAGTATGAGTTTCTTATAAAACTATCTTCTCTGAAAATGCTGCTGTCTCAGTGAGTTCAAAAATTATAGAGTAATCATACATAAATTAGGGAATAATATAATGATGGAGATTGTTATATTCATCATCGCTAGATACCATCAGTGGATATCATTCATTCAAGCAGGTCAGTAGATAGATAGGCATGTAGGCGGGCAGACAGAGAATTCAGGGGTAAGAATAGGGGATTGCTAGTGTTGAAGTTAAGTCTCCACTGCATAAATAAAAGTGGACAGCATATAGATCAATCAAATATCCAGAAATCTCCTCTACATGAATAAAATCATCCCCTCGCATAACCACCGTCCTTATTCAACGGACAATGCATGAGAAATGTAGCACTCCTTTCATGCAAGTGACGTGCAGCATGATCGTAGCATCCTGATTCTCATATGGTACAGCAGAACGTATGCATGATTTCTCAACCGCGGTTTCCACCTTTCCACCCCTTGGTGGACAGCCAGGCTAAGGGCACGACCACTTATGCATCTAGAATATGAAGCGCCTTCTCTATTCAAAATACAACCTCATGTCTTATTGAATTTTGTTCTCTCTGGACCTTCCAATAACATCCTGTTTCGCAATATCCGGCAGGCGGAATGACTCGAACAATCGGTATCCCTAGTTGGGATATACTTGCCGCATTTCTTTTTCTCTTTCTTTTTCTCTCTCTTTCCTGTTCAAGAGCCCATTCCTGCCTCAGCAGCTTCAGAAAAGTAGAAATGAATATGGGGAAAGCGCGATGCATCGGTGCACGAACAGTTGTTTATCTGCCCATTCTCAGACGTCAATCCTCGCAGAAAAACAAACAACATCCACAGCCCCATAGAACACTCGTTTGATCCCAATACTGTCTTTTGCAGCTGGTAATATCGTTGTCTGCGTGTTGTTCGTTCCTTCATTGCACAGAGCTGCTGTTGTGGCAGCGGCCCCCCAGTTACCCAGCTCTATTCGACATTCATGGCGCTGTGACTGCTCCCAGGTAAGTTATACCCTTGAAGACTTCGGAGGGATATAGTGCAACGCGTGATGGGGGTCGAGTCGAATAATACTAAGGGCAGAAGAAACAGGCTGCAACCCCTATACATACATTAATTGGAAGGTGTAGAGGAAGTACATTTGCAAAATTCCCGCACTGTTCTCGACAAGAGCATTCGCGTCGTAACAAAGAAGCGATCGTTTGCGCTCTCGACCGTAATATCGGACCATTACCCGTTCGCAGGAATCATGGCTGATACTGCGGTCATTCAATCTGCACCTAATGGCACTGCTACGGCTCCAACTACGCCCAATAATGTTACTGGCCCAGACAATGCTGCTAATGTAGCCTTGCCTGAGGATACGCCCGCAGATGCTACTCTGATATCCAGGACCGAACGGGCAAATGGTATACCTCTACCCTTGTTCAGAAGTGGGCAACCTGTCAGTGCTAATGCTCCCGACTTAGTCAAAAATTCCCATGGGACATACTGGCGTTTCTGCAAGAAATGCCGTAATGTTCGGCCAACCAGGTGGCGTTACTGGGAGGACAGGCGAAATCCAGCGACATCCCGGTACTTCTGGTACTTCGTAACATTCGCCTGGCGTTATCTCTCCGCCAGCAGATGCCCGGAATGTAAGTGTTCCGTGGACGAGCCTCTTGCGTCTCCCCGGCAAGGGGAGGAGCCGAACCGAACAACGGGATCAGAGCAGGAACGAACGATTCAGGCGACGGAGGACGTTGAGACGCCGGAGTAATAATGCCATGCATATAATATCAGGAAACCCAGTCAACCCAGCAGTCAACCCATATCTTCGTTCGAATGGAGGAGCACATTTCTGAGATTGGGATCGGTGGTGCTTCTTAGTGACGATTTCGAAGCCTTATTCCCGGTATATACTCGCAGAATCCTTTCCGATTGCTTTCTATTCAAGTACTGGCTGACAAACATGCGGTTAGTGCTTTGAAACAAAATCAATATTAGATATTGTTTTATCACTTTCACTCATTTTTGCTGGAAGATTATTGTTGTCCCGGGCCGTGTTTCTGTCGTTAAACGCTCCTCTCTTTTAATATTTAATTTCTTCTTTTTGTCGTTCGATTTCCTGCCTTAATTGGGTCGCTAATGTTTCGTCATCAGATTATCTGATGAGTGTGACAGAGCTGGCTTTCCACATCCAAATTGTGTACCTGTCATCCTTTCTTCTCTTTTTTTTATGCTTTGACTTGTAGTTTTTATACGCAGCGACCGCTGTTATTAATAATTAGTTAGATAGGAACCAACAATTTCACTCATTGTCCCACAATCTCTAGCATTCCGCTCCGTTTCGAAGCACCAACTCATTGATTGCCCTACGATTAGGAATTAGAGAAGCAGGTTGGGGAAGTTTGTATCTAACATACAAAAATCTGGATATCAACTTGGGCTGATGAGCGGCTTTCCGACTGTAAAATGAGCGTTTCGCTTGTCGTCAATACGTGGTCATCTGCCTGTGATCCTCCGCGACAGGCCTAGATCAACGAATGATTGCTGTTAATGCGCGGCAGGTGGTTGTACTTGTTTTGTTTATTGAAAGGTCAGATGCAGGAGGTGACACAGGCCAAAAAAAATTAAATTAAATTAAATTAAATTAGAATTGAGCCATGGGAGATTATTTATTTAGTACCTAGCCCAGCTCCCAAGGTAACAAAGTAGATAAAAATATATTTTCGTATCGAAAGCGTAGTAGATCAGATTGGCTTGATTTTATAATTACAAAGTACTGGTATACATCGCCGTGCTCATACTGTGAACAAGAGCCCCCCTGAATGTGCGCTTCTCGATTTTTTTGGGCCACTCCAACCCCTCCCATCCCTTGTACTGTCTGCTTCTCCTTCTTCTCCATTTTTTTTGAAAAAAAATTTTTTTTAACTTTTTCCTTTTTTACACACCCTACTATCGCCAATATATGCAAAAATCCCAAAAGGCAATGTGTATTATACATGAAACGCCAGCCGCCAGATATAAAGTGTCTATCATAACAAATAAGAGTGGAGACAAACGAATTGGAAACGTACGGACGGCAGGCCAATAAGGTGGACAGAATCCTTCGTTCTCATGGTTCGTCCATGAGATAACCCGCAACGTACGGGG